AACGTTACAGCATTCTGTACACCTCGGCATATAGTCATGCTGGCCACATGACCACATGGAAGCATCTTTGGACAATGCTGGCTCCCTTGGCTAAAAAACAGAGATGAGCACTGCCCCTTAGAATTGGACTGGACTGGACAGGGGAATCCTTGAACTTTTTAAAGTCAATGCAGTGTCTTTTCCTTAGAAGAGTTGGTCTTGAGCAGTGATGATTTTTTGTGGAACCAACTCTTTTGGAAACAATAAGAAAATGGTTCTAATAGAAGAGAATATCTACAGCTCGGGATGAACTGTTGAATCATTGGTGTTCTTTCAACTTGCCTCTTTGTTTGCAGACATTTCATTACATGACTAGGTAACATCTTCAGTGATGTTTCATTATCTGACTAGATGATGTTATGCCAATGAAACATCTGAAGGCAGACCACCAAACTCAGACAGCACCAACAACTCCACAATATCAAAATGGACTGACACTCCCCTTGCCACCTATTGGGATTTTTTTTAAAAAAAAACTTACCCCAGCCTACAGACATGAAATCTTCAGACCACAAGCTAGCTGGGATACTAGCCAGCACTGAAGGCAACTGGAAATTGATCCTGGTCTGGGGAAGGCATGGCTCATTGTCTGAGTTCATACAACACAATAAATCCTAAACCTGGGATTGCGTTATATTTACATAAAGTTATTTTTAACTGATACTTTACTGTCAAGGCTTCGCACCAGAATTTAATTCTCCAGACTTCTAAAGAGCTTGGCCAAATAAGTTTTTTTTATTGCAGGTAAAAATGAAGCCATGTCAATACAGATTTGCCCAAAAGGTCAAACCCTTTCTATAGGTCTATTTTTAAATCTACTCCTAATTTTAAATTTTTCTCCTACTTCTGAAAGTTAATGGATAATTTTGGTTGTTTTCTTGGTGACTCTGAGAAGTACCTGATCCATGTTGACATAGCAGTTTTGTTTAGCTTAAGGACATCCAATTCCTGATTCAACAGCTCTATTACTTTCAAGTACAGCTTTATGTGATGACCTAGTTCCCATATTATGCTACAACCATGCTGAACATACATCATCAATTAAACCACAATCCATTCAAAACTATTTTAAATTTGATTAGTGAATCTCTATATAATTGAATTCTATTACCATGGTGGTGCAGTGGTTAGAATGCAGTATTGCAGGTTGACTCTGCTCATTGCCAGTTCGATCCTGACTGGCTCAAGGTTGACCTATCCTTCCATCCTTCCGAGGTCGGTAAAATGAAGATCCAGCTTGTTGGGGCAATATGCTGGCTGGGGAATCCTGGGAGCTGAAGTCCATACATCTTCAAGTTGCCAAGGTTGAAAAATACTGGCTTAGGGAGTGCTGTAAAGCACTATGGAGTCATATATAAGTCTAAGTGTTATTGCTATTGCTATTACTATTACATAAAACTTTTTGTGAGATTTAAAAAAAAATGAAAACATCAAACATGGAACAACATTTGGGTCTGAATTTCAATCTGGTCTTATTGAGAACAGAACAATCTGTTTTTATTTGTCCACTGCTGAAATCCGCACAATCTTTTCAAAATCTCTCCTTAGCTGTAGGAAAAAGCATAATCTTGCAACCAATTTGCAGATTTTTTTCTTATGTGTGTGTGTCTACGAATGAGAAGCTCTTTGCCAATTCAGATCTTTCCAGTTAAGTCACAAAACGTTTCCTAAGTCTAATGATATGCATGGAGGTTCAAATGAAGCCAGATTTCCCAGCAAGCATATACAATAAAGTATGTTAATTTTGCTGTTAAATTGTATGCTGACCACTCTTGCATTTCCTCTTGTGGTAGACTAATCCTTATGTAACAGAAATCTGGAAAAGCGTGATAATGTTTTAGCCCCCTTTTTTATTTCAAATGGTGTTCCTTCTTATTCAAATGAAGTTTACCACATCTGCAATTCTCATTATAGATTACCATGCATGGCTGAATATTGTTGGATTTGGGTATGTGTGAACAATGCCTATGTCCCCATATGTCTACATATATTTGAATCCAGATGGTCCTATATAAACCATTTAAATCAGTGGGATTTAACATTTCTCCCAGTTTTTCATCAGTGCTTTAATGTATAGGGATTGTTTCATCCCTTATGTCTAGTTCCAATATCTGTAAATATGAATTTACATGAATTTATATCAATTCATGCACACAAAACACTGCATAAATAGATAGGAAACCACAGGTACGTGCATGTTCTCTGAAGCTAAGGTTTTAAAAATAAATTTGCTATTCACCTTTCTTTTGAACAGTGCTGTGCTTGCTACTATCTTTACAGATTCAATTCAGTGTGTTCTTTGGGGCCTCCTGTTGTCTATGGTTAGTCACTATGGCAGCAGAATGCTGGAATAAATCCAATTTTGGTCTGATTCTGCACAAATCATACATTTTAAAATTAAGATAAAAAGAAACCCATCTTTCTGATGTTTTATTATTATCTTTTGAATGATTGCATCATGTTTTATGAAATGTACCTAGAATTTAAATAAATAAATAAATCTCGAAATGTTTATTGTGGATGTGTTAAACTGGGCTTTGGGGCTTTAACAAAAAATTCTTAAGACACCAAGAGCCAAGAGCATTTCAAATAACCAAGATCTTAACCCTGTTCTTTTACGGTGGTTGACTAGTCAATCATTATGTGGTTAATCAAGGAAACAGTTATTGAAGCCATGTGGTATATGGCTGGGCTAAAGATTGGCTTCATTGCAGCCTTTAGACTGCAAGCACAGAAGTTGGAAATCTGTTTCCAACCCATTTCTTATAATGGGCTCTGACCAGAACCAATTATAATCTTTTTTTCCCTTAGCAGTCATAATCATGTAAATTTGCACAAAGCAAGCACATTGTTAATTGGAAAACAAAAGTCACTGCAGCAGTCAAGGATTAAAGGCTGTTGATTGGCAGCCATTTCCACTCACTGTCTGTTTTTTTCAACCCTGCTTTTTTCTTCCTTTTCTTCATTTGTGATACAATCTGTCAGCTTTTCAGTAAGTGGGAGAAATGGACAATTTTAGGCACTGGCCTGAAAAAAACGATCCTAAACTTTGCTGTAACAACTTTGAAATGTGACAACAGCTTTAGGCTTAGTATCTCTCAGAAGTCAGTCACACATTTTTTAACCTCGTTTACAATTACACACAGGTGACATTGAGTGTAATTTCATTTTTTAAATATATATAGGTAAAGTCATGCTCTGATCTTGAACATGGATTACATCACGGGTGTCAAACTCGCCGCATCACGTTGCCGTCACAGATGTTTTTTCCCTTCACGGAGCTGGGGTGGGTGTGGCTTGCGCGTGACGCATCTGGCCCATGGGCCGCCAGTTTGACACCCCTGGATTACATAAAGCCATGTTGCTTTATTGGTAACATTACAGAACTGGTTTCTCATAGCTTTTTCCAGCATTTTTTCAAAAAAATAATTCAGATTTATAGTCCTTCAAGTCCAAATCTACTTTCTTTCTTTTTTCTTTTTTCTTTCTTTTTTCTTTCTTTTTGGAGAACTTCCAATGACAACAATCTCCTGTCAGTTGCTTTGATGATGACATTTGTTTAACCCTTGGACCACTCTGGTCTGAGGCAAACTTAACATGTGCCGTGAAGTCATTGTCATCTCTTAGCACCCACATAATCCCCCCCCCCCATAATAATCTGTTCCTAACTCAGCCTTTCAAATCTTCCAATTGAAAAAGTGTGTCACCAAAGGACTCTTGATGCTATAAAGCAGGGGTCTCCAACAGTGGTGGGTTTCAAATTTTTTTACTACTGGTTCTGTGGGTGTGGCTTGGTGGGTGTGGCAGGGGAAGGATACTGCAAAATCTCCATTCCCATCCCACTCCAGGGGCAGGTTACTGCAAAAATCCGCATTTCCTCCTGATCAGTTGGGATTTGGGAGGCAGAGAATAGATGGGGGTGGGGCTAGTCAGAGGTGGTATTTACTGGTTCTCTGAACTATTCAAAATTTCCACTACCGGTTCTCCAGAAGTGGTCAGAACCTGCTGAAACCCACCTCTGGTCCCCAACCTTGGCAACTTTAAGACTTGTGGACTTCAACTCCAAGAGCCTTGGTAGTACAGTGGTCTAAAGCACCCTGTTATTAAGAACAGCTGCCTGCAATTACTGCAGGTTCAAATCTCGCCAAGGCTCAAGGTTGACTCAGCCTTCCATCCTTTCTAAGGTAGGTAAAATGAGGACCCAGATTGTGGGGCAATAAGCTGACTTTGTATAAATATACAAAAGAATGAAGGCTATTGCTTAGCGCATTGTAAGCCGCCCTGAGTCTCCGGAGAAGGGCGGCATATAAATCAAATTAAAACAAAACAAAACAAAACTCCAAGACTTCAAGTCTTAAAAATTGCCAAGGTTGGAGACCCCTGCTATAAAGCTTGATTGGAATGAATGGGAGCCTTCTTCCTAATTAAAATTCCAAGCATGGTAACTTAATATAGACTGGAGAGGGTCTCAGAGCTACAAGAATGTTTATGTTGGTGTTAGAAAGTTAAATTCCCTATTAACCTTCTTATAGAGAATCTTCCTAGAAGACAGCATTACTTCAATTGCTGGCATCTTTATTTTGCCTTTTAGTTTTTAACCAACTGTATTTTGGATGGTCCCTATCCACTTTTGTGGCATTGCCAAATATATTTTGTGCTTTCTGAGGATCTCAGCTCCTCCTGTCTACAAACAGTGTTTCTTGTTTCCCACTATTGTTACTGAATCTAGCATTGCAGGCACCAACTTTCTGCAGTCTTTCTCAGTTTTAGCAGCTTTTTAAAGATGTGTGAACTTCAACTTCCAGGCTGGCTGGGGAATTCTGGGAGTTGGAGCCCACACGTTTGAAAGTTGTTAAGGTTGAAAAACTCTGCGTTAAGTAATTGTCCCTTTAATAAGAGAGGTATTCCACCTCATCCAGTGTGAAAGGAGACTAGAGTTTTGAAAATGAAGACACACAATGCAATGGGCCCAATATTTTATATTCAAGTTCCGTTTTTCAGTTGATAAACATGTAAGTATTCCCAGTTACAGAAAAAAGGAGAAAAAATAGTGAAAGCAGACGTTAGCGAGGCTAGCAATTTAAAAAAAAAAAAGATAATTATGTATCCTTCACAGAAGGTAATATTCACAGTGTTGCACAAATACATAAAATTGTTCCAACCCTTCTGAAGATGTAAAACTACAAGCTTTTTTGCCACCTAGATAACACTCCATTGATGTGACAGCAGCTTGACTGGCCAATTAAAAAGCTAATGTTGTTTTTTTCTCCCATTATCTCAGTGTCAAGGATGTAGACAAATAAATTACAATTATTCCCAGCGTCTACATCTATTTTAGGAAAATGCAATACAGAGAAAATAAAGGACTTAGTGACAACTGAGAGAGAGAGAGAGAGAAATAACTTTTTTTCTTCTCTTCTTAAAAGGTCAAACAGAAAAGAAAGAAAAAAACCAACGCTTAAATTCCAGTAGTTTCTGACTTTCATTCAGGCTCTGTTTTGGTTGCAGGATTATTTCAATCAATACTGAGTTTTGTCCTTCAACTTCGCGTGTTCCTGATTCATCAGGCAATAAAGTCTCAGCAATTACAGCAACTGGGATAATCTTGTTTGATGGTCTTAGAAGTTTTAACATCAGTAGAAATGTGAACAAAGTACAACTCTGTTTCATCCCAGTATATCCCTTCATTCCTAGTTCCTGATCGCATCTACATATATGGATTTTCCAATGCCACAAGCACTCAGCAATTAAAAACAAGACCTTAACACTAAATGATACAGACCAGCACATGAATCAGCATATACCATCAGCCAATTTAAACTATAAAAAGAGGCTCAAAATATGACTCCTGTCAAAAACACACATTTCCTCATTTGAATGCAGAATATGAAAGTCAAGTGAGCCTTACTGGGTAAAGTTGAATAAAATTGATGCCATAGCTGAGAAGGTTCTAAACTGCGACCGACATAATACAATCTAACACATTTTGAACAATATTGTGACAAGATGAAGCTCTTATGATAACTTGAGTGAACAGGAAGGATGCTCTGGAAGATATATTTTAGCTGTATTGGTTTCATGTTATGTACCATAAGGATTGTATTGTCCTAACTAGAATGGATCTTTTAACAGAGGTTGGCGCCTAAAAGAAAATTGACTTGTCAGAGTCATATTTTCTCTTGTCAATTTAGCATTCCTAAAGGATGGAGTCAGGACAGTTCTGGTGGTCCCCACAGCAAAAGACTATTACTGGAGGAATAGTAGCAAAAAGCATAGCAAAAAAGCCCATTATTAATACCAGCCATATTACGGTTTATGTAATTTTGGTACATGTTTCTTGCAGGCCTTGTATATACAAGAGTGAAGACGATGGACTTTAATGAAGGAACCAATTGATCTGATAATTTCCTGGACCTGATAATATAAAAGAATTAGAAAATACAGCTTAAAAAGATTTGTGTGTGTGTGTGTGTGTGTGAAAGGATCCAGTTTTGTACAATGTGCAATGTGTTAATTTATGTGCAGAAGTGTATGATTAGAATTATTCTAAAAATGCAAGACATTTTTCCCACTGTAACAAAGTGATAACCTTCCTAATGTATGGATGGTCAACGATACTCTGTTCATTTTCCACTTGTTAAATACTACCCATGATTATATCCAGATCATTTACACATTTGAAAAACCAGCTTTAGATCATCTGTATTTCATGTAGTGAACATTTAAAGCATGCATATTTGTTGATATTCTTCTGACACAATGATTTGCCAGTCATTCTCAAAATAACAAAATAAGCAGTTCTAACAGAGTACTTGGAAGCATGATAAAACAAACACAATCTAGACCAGAAATAATTCATGGGCTTTTTACAAGACATACCTAACCAGTTAAATTAAAAATTGGTTCCATTCACACAGCATGCTAAGCTTGGGAAGCTTTAATCTTAGTTTTTTTAAAAAATATGTGTCACCAAGGTGCTTTTTCGAGAGGCAACTTGACTGTTTTTTCTTTGAAGATGTTTCGCTTCTCATCCAAGAAGTTTCTTCAGCTCTCTGAGCTGAAAAAGCTTTTTGGATGAGAAGCAAAACGTCTTCAAAGAAAAACCAGAAAGTTTAGTTACCTCTTGAAAAAGCACCTTTGGGACAACCATGACCTGGATGATTGAGAATCTCCATAGACATTTTTTCCTGTGGTTTAACACATAGTGAAAATACAGCCTCTTTAATTAATCTATGATTTCAAGTGCTCTGCAAATAAAAAATAAGTTAAATAAGTTAAGCATGTTGCGTCAAACCAATCATTTTTGGGACAAAACATACAAAGCCCCAAGTTTTCTTCCATTCAATCAGGACTCCAAGGCGGGTACACATATCGTGCCTGTCATTTCTGCAACTGGAGAACTTGTAGCCAGATGTTGTTAAACAGATGTTGCTAAACAGTTTCTGCCAACCTTATCAATGTTGCAAGGGGCTGATGATGGTTGGAACCCTACAACATTTGCAATAGGTCAGTTTCCCATGCCTGATCTATAAAGTGCATTTCATGTACAAAAAGTACTAAAGTGAAATTCTAACTGAAATGCTGCACATCAGTTAGATGTGCTTCTTCCAGATTTTCTAATAAGGGGACAGGATAGGTGATCCCCAATGTTTATTGCAAATAGCAATAATGGAAAGACTTGAAACAAACTTTCTGAGTAATCATATGGCATAGCGATGAAAAGATTGGATAAGGATCAGGGAGATCCAGATTTAAATCCACCTTAGGTCATTGGGTGACTTCGGGCCAGTCCCTCGTGATGGTTACTCTAAAGAAAAAATTGCAGAAGTGTTATGTATGTTATCTTGAGCTACTTAAGAAAAGGTAGGGTATACATTTAATGAACAATGTACAAAAGACTATAGTGTTATAATTATTTAGACTTCTTGTGCTGCAAGAATTATTGAAAGCACAATATAATCTCTCGTTTTAAACAATGATTATGATTTCCATCCTTATTACTAATTAAGAGCATGAAGCACCAAGCATGCTAACAACTAAGCTGGGCAGTTGGTTTGCCCATGACAAATATTGATTCCCATTTGCTGTGCACTGTTCTACGCCTTATTAAATTGCTTCTGCAATGTGGCCAAAAGGTCTTAAACTGAACATGGAAGGGCCAGTTATGCTTTATGGGAGAGACTATAAAACCCTTGTCACAGACTTTTAAAAGCCAAGGAATACAATGTAAACACTCTCCAGAGTATTGAGGACAAACTACAACTCCCAGCATCTTGACCATGCTGCTAGCAGTTGTAGATAGCAAGACCTGAAATATCATCCATGCTAGAAGATGAAACAAACGCAGTCTAGACCAGAAATAATTCATGGGCTTTTTACAAGATATACCTAACTAGTTAAATTAAAGGCTGGTTTCATTCACACAGCATGCTAAGCTTGGGCCAGATTTAATCTTAGTTAAATATTTTTTGTTGCTTAAACACATAGCGAAAATCCAATCTTTTAAAATCTATGTTTACATGTGCTATGTAAAAAATAAAAAATACGTTAAATAAGTTAAGCATGTTGCATTACGCCGTAATCGTATTTGGGACAAACGTACAAAGTCCAAAGACTTTGGCCATGCTGCTAGTCTTTGTAATTCAACAAGATCTGAAATATCACTCATGCTAGAAGATGAAACACAGAATATTTGAGAGATCCCCAGATGGAGAAATCAAAATCCAATTAGACTGAATCCAAGATTACTGTCTAGGCAAATGGTCCCAGGTGGTTCTCAAGCAGTAGGCAGTTAAGTAGGCTGCTGGGTGAGGAGGTTGTGTGGGTAGCCAACAAGAGATGGTACAAGCCCCGCAGGGGTACCGGCTTCTGGGCAAGGGAGGAAGCTCAAATCGCTCATGAGGCACTGCATGAGCGCAGCAGGGCCAGGGGTGACCTGCTATTGGGTAGGGGAGAGTGTGAATTATCTACCTGGGAGAATTAAAATCCTCCCTGCCAGTTTCCCCACTGAGATTGCTCGCAGGGAAGTTTGCAAATGGTGATCATAGGATTGTAGGATGTTGCAACCATTGAAAAGTGCAAGATGACTGCCAAGTGCCCAGATGGCAATCATGTCACTGCTAGAGTGTTGCGATGGCTTGAACTTCAAGGTCCAGTTGTAAGCATCACTTGTTCAGCATTTGTCATAACTTCAAGGGGTTGCTGAGCGAGTGATTGTTAACTGAGGACTATCCATAACCCATAGGAAGATAATGCCAGAAGTTAATGTATGGTCCCAAATTAGTCAGGATATACAGTACAACTGTGTGGTCTTGCTCTTATATCACAGTGTAAGGCTTCAGACAACTTTTTGCAAGTTAGGATCTGGAGAAAGTGGATGAAGTTTTACTACGGTTTTCCTGCCTACCTCAAATTCTGATAAGCAGGCCTAATTTGTTTACTTTTTATTTATTTATTCATGTTTCCTATTTCTAAACCACTCTCCTTACTTAAACACTGCTATCTTTTTAATACAAGATATGTTCTCATGTACTTTCTAAGAAACAGGAACTTGGAAACAGGACAATAATTTATATCTCATTTAGCTTGGTTTTGTTTATTTTGATTGGTCATGCTGGTTGGAGATGAGGGGAATCAGAGCCCAACACAGAAGGACGATTTGGATTTGAGAAAACTGCATTGGGATTTCTGGTAAAGACCTTAATCCCATTGACCTTGAAATGCCAGGGATTGAATAGTTCAAAGTCTAGAATTTAGAGTCCAGTAGAATGTTTCTTTTCTCTACATCCATCTATTGTGGGGTGATGGTGGGAAGACTCTCATAAGCACAGGGCTGAACAACCTATAATGAAACAACATATATGATTCCTACCCTTCTTCTTTTGCAGGTCTCACAGTCCTTCCAATCACAACTGCCAAATTAGTGGCATGGATTCCCTACTGTGTGCGGACAGGAAACACACCTACATTGTAATGTAAGACTCTTGCATCTGTGAAAAAAATAATAAAACTTGACCCACCGTCGCAGTCCTTGAAAAATGTTGAGTAGCCTCTAACATAGTATTTCATAGATTGTTTGCTGCTCCTGCTGCTCAAGCAGGAGACCCCATACCGTTCCAGACAAGAGGTTGTCTCCTTTTAAAAGCCTCCAATGATGGAACACCACAACCTCTGAAGGCAAGCCGTTCCACTGGTTAATTGTTCTCACTGTCAGGAAATTTCTCCTTAAGTCTAGGTTGCTTCTCTCCTTGATTAGTTTCTCTCCATTGTTTCTTGTCTTGCCTTCTGGTGCTTAGGAAAATAGGTTGACCCCCTTGTCTTTGTGGCAGCCCCTCAAATATTGGAACACTGAACTGTAGGCATACAAGAAGGAATTCTTTGGCCATGTGTTTCTGAACAGGAAGGGAAGAACTAATTGGTCCCTCTTGAAGAGAATAAAGAGATTTTTGCTAAATCATTACATAAATACACTTTTTTCGGCCATTAAGGACACAAAACAAATCGGTCGGCATACCAGTACTGCTTGAGAAATCTTCAACACATACTGTTGCAACATGACACATGCAGGACGAATTATTTCTCCTGCTAAATGCAGCACTAAAAAAAAAAATCATCTATGCAAAACCTCTATAACTTACTCCAGAAAGATCACAGTTAAGCCCAAAGGGGCGTCGTGCAGTGTTTCTCAGTAGTTGCTATCCTATGCGCAGAATTTAAAAAAAGGAATTATAAAGGAATACTCTATCTTAACAAGTTCCATAGTTCCAAAGACATAAACAACACTAAGAGCCCACAAAAGAGTGAAGGCATTGTCACTGTTACACGTGGATTTCTTCTAAAGTAGACACCGTAGATGCAGGTCACTTTGCTTGGAAAGGTAATTTCTACAAGCAGTAACCTTAGTTACAAGGTTTTCCCAATTTTTGTCCAGAATAAAAGATGGCTAGTATAAGCAAATATCTGAGTTACTCATAACGAAGACTTTGTAGATTTTGTTTGAGATAATCAAACATGTAGGGTGAGCATGCATGGAATATGAAAAGTGTCTTGACGTATGATTGTAGACTTTTAGAGAAAGTATCTTCCATTACCCTCTTCCCTCTTTTCAGGTTGCTTGGATGGCCCTGCTATCACTGAGAACATAATTTATCAATGATCTGCTATTTCCAACCCTGCCTCTAGTCGATTGTGATTTTCTCTAAAACCCTACCACCAAAAGGCACTTTTGGATTGGTGCAGCTTTTCCTTCTTAGGACAACAGGTTCTTGTGAAAACAGAAGCCAAACCAGATCTGCGTCTTGTTTACTCAGAAACAAAAATTCAAGCTGACTTCTCTTTAAGTCCACGTTTCCATGGGCACCATGGATTCTTTTGTTCCGACAGAGGGAAGCAAATTCTCTTCATCCAGAAAGCGAAAGGGGAACTGGACAAGAAATCCACGGATTTTCTTCAATTCTTCAGTTGCTTTAGTGGGATTCTCGCATGCAAGTTTTGGTTTATTGATGAAATCCCGCAGGTGAGTTAAGTTATTGACTTCATCGCTAGGAAGACATCGGAAAACCTAATTGAGAAGAGGAAGAGTGAAGAAAAAGATGTGAGAACAGATCTCTCTCCAAGAACATGTCTATACTAGAAACTTGCCCAACTGTTTAGTCATGTTACCTCTGTGCTCATTGAATTTTAGAACTTTAACAAAGGATTTTCAGAATCTCCAAGACACTTGATTTTTGTCCCCCAAGATTTTTTGGAATCAAAGTCATGTAAATATGTTTATATTTACATTCTGGTTGATGTTAGGACCTTAAACCGTTCCAGCCCTCTTTCACTTAAGAAGAAAATTATCACTGGTTTTTCAGAAGCACTTGAAAGCAAAGCTGTCAACTATAAATATACAGGTAGTCCTCAACTTACGACCACAATTGAGCCCAACATTTCTGTTGCTAAGCAAGGCAAGTTGTTAAGTGAATAGTGCCTTATGTTATGACACAGCTGTTAAGCTAATCACTGCAATTGGTAAGTGAATCATGCAGCCGTTAAGCGAATCTGGTTTCCCCCATTGACTTTGCTTGTCGGAAGCCAGCTGGAAAAGTCATGGTGATCATGTGACCCCAGGACAGTGCAACTATGATAAATACATGTCAAGTGTCTGAATTTTGATCACATGACCATAGGGATGCTGCAGTGGTTGTAAGTGTGAAAACCAGTCATAAGTCACTTTTTTTCGGTGCTGTTGTAATTTTGAGTGATCACTAAACAAATGGTTGTCAGTCAAGGACTACCTGTATATAGGTGAGACAGAGATTCTTTGGATCTATGGCCGTGATGGTGAACCTATGGCACACTTACATTTTTTGCTGTCCCCAGCCTCCAGAGACTCCTAGAGAGGCTCCGGAGGCTGAGGACAGCAAAAAAGTCACTTCCTGTTTCACTGGAAGTTGGGAAATGGGCCCTTTTAGGCCTCCAAGGGGGTGGGGAAGGCTGTTTTCGCTCTCCCCAGATGCATAGAGAGGATCTGGAGCCAGGTGAGAAAGAAAAACAGGTCTACCGAGCTATTGCATGCCAGGAGCGGGGGGGAGGGGGGGTTGCGCACGCAGGGCAGGCTGCATAGAATTATGGCTGTGGGCACACGCACGTGCAAACCTCCCCCGCCCCCCCCCCTCCTGGCACACGATGGCAAAAAGGTTAGCCATCACTGATCTATGGCTTAAGGATTGTTATCCTGGTCAAGGGTTTTGAGATCATGCTACAGATATAAGCCAATCATTAACCATACACCTAGGATAAAAGTAGGCAGGTTTTCAGGTGTTGGGTTTGTCTATGGAGATTCTCAGTCATCCAGGTCATGGTTGTCCCAAAGGTGCTTTTTCAAGAAGCAACTGGACTTTCTGGTTTTACCTTGAGGACATTTTGCTTCTCCTCCAAGAAGCTTCTTCAGTTCTGATGAGAAGTGAAACATCTTCAAGGAAAAACAAAGGAAGTCCAGTTGCCTTTGAAAAAGCACCTTTCGGACAGGTGTTGGGTTGTAAAAAAGTAAGCAAGAATATTTTTAAAACAGCCAAAAATCTCGCAGAATGCCGAAGTTCACAAATGTCAAGGCTTTCATAACCGAGGCATGTCACATAAGAACACCAAAATCGTATACGTTCTTGCCTAAAACCTCATGAGAACACAAACCTTTAGCAACGTGGTTGATCTTACAAACTTTCAGTCTGTTGATCTTTTTAAAGTTATGTTTAGTTCTAAAGTTCTTGGGTCACCTTCAAGTGTTGTTGTGTGGGCATTCCTAGCAATACCACATCTCTGATCCCTAAAATTTCTAATATGGATGTGAAATGCTTTTGGATTTGATTTCCAAAGGTTGGTGTGTGTTGTGCAGGAGCATAAATATAGCACTGGTCAGGGATTTATTAAAGCAAGGTTGGGAGACTTCTAAGAATTGGACAGCCCTATTCAGAATAACAGAGTTGGAGGTCTTCTAGTCCAACCTCCTGCTTAAGCAGGAGACCCCCTACCAGTGGTGGAATTCTTTTTACTACCGGTTCTGTGGGCGTGGCAGGCGAAGGATACTGCAAAATCTCCATTCCCATCCCACTCCAGGGGAAGGATACTGCAAAATCTCCATTCCCAGCGCACTCAGGGGAAGGATACTGCAAAATCTCCATTCCCACCCCACTCCAGGGGAAGGATACTGCAAAATCTCCATACCACCGCACTCCACGGGAAGGATACTGCGCACTCCAGGGGAAGGATACTGCAAAATCTCCATTCCCACCCCACTCTAGGGGAAGGATACTGCAAAATCTCCATTCCCACTGCACTCCAGGGGAAGGATACTGCAAAATCTCCATTCCCATCCCACTCTGGGGCAAGCCAGAGGTGGTATGTATGTATGTATGTATTTATTTATTTATTTATTTAAATTTTTATACCGCCCTTCTCCCGAAGGACTCAGGGCGGTGTACAGCCATATTAAAACAAACATAAACCCATAAAATTTAAAAACAATTTAAAATATATTAAAATATGGCCCTATATTAAAAACTACGAACACCCCGTTAAAATTCATTTTCTAAGCCAGTTCTCCGAACTGCTCAAAATTTCCACTACCGGTTGTCCAGAACTTGTCAGAACCTGCTGAATAGCACTCCTGCCCCATACCATACCATTCCAGATGAATGTCTGTCCAGTCTCTCCTTAAAAGCTCCCAGTGACAGAGCACCCACAACTTCTGAAGGCAAGTTGTACAATACTCATGCCTTTCAGTAACAATAAGTGTGAAACAGAAGCCCATACTTCACCTTCCCAAAAATAGTGGCGTTACGTGCTGCTGTTGAAACCCACACTTCTTTAAAGAATTTGTCACTTATGGGATCCTGGATATCATTCAGATCTATTGAGCTGCCAAGAACAACCCTGAAGAATGGGAGAAGAAAAAAAGGAAAAAAATAATAAAAAGAAAGGAAAGTACGCACAATTAAACTCGTAGGTGAGGTCAACGATAACCACTGTGAAAACAGGAAGATAAATACAACCCCACAGGGTACTAATAAAATACAAGAACATTGCTCCAACAGAAGCCAAACAAAGAATGATAGTCATTATCAACCCAAGGTTTGGCTGTTTTGTTTTAAAGCTTCTTCGCAGGTTTCAATATCTTGTCTATATCTTCCTCGAGGGGCAAAATGTGCATGATGATCTAAACTCCATCTCTTGCTTATTTGTGTATTTAATTTTTAAAAAAATCCTGCCTTTATTATTTTTATAAAGGTTACAAACATACGTACATAATATTCCCAAAGGTGCTTTTAAAAAGGCAACTGGAATTTTGTGGCTTTTTCCTTGAAAACATTTCACTTCTCATCCAAGAGGCTTCTGGACCTGGATGATTCAGAATCTCCATAAATATACATAATACTCTTTCCTCCTCCTATTTTCCCCACAACAACCACTTTGTGAGATGGGTTGGGCTGAGAGGAAGTGACTGGCTCAAGTACACCAGCTAGTTTCATGTCTAAGGAGGGACTAGAACTCACAGTCTCCTGGTGACGGGCCCAAAGTCACCCAGCCAGCTTTCATGTCTAAGGAGGGACTAGAACTCACAGTCTCCTGGTGACGGGCCCAAAGTCACCCAGCCAGCTTTCATGTCTAAGGAGGGACTAGAACTCACAGTCTCCTGGTGATGGGCCCAAAGTCACCCAGCTAGCTTTCATGTCTAAGGAGGGACTAGAACTCACAGTCTCCTGGTGATGGGCCCAAAGTCACCCAGCCAGCTTTCATGTTTAAGGAGGGACTAGAACTCACAGTCTCCTGGTGATGGGCCCAAAGTCACCCAGCCAGCTTTCATGTCTAAGGAGGGACTAGAACTCACAGTCTCCTGGTGATGGGCCCAAAGTCACCCAGCCAGCTTTCATGTCTAAGGAGGGACTAGAACTCACAGTCTCCTGGTGATGGGCCCAAAGTCACCCAGCTAGCTTTCATGTCTAAGGAGGGACTAGAACTCACAGTCTCCTGGTGATGGGCCCAAAGTCACCCAGCCAGCTTTCATGTCTAAGGAGGGACTAGAACTCACAGTCTCCTGGTGATGGGCCCAAAGTCACCCAGCCAGTTTTTCATGTCTAAGGAGGGACTAGAACTCACAGTCTCCTGGTGACGGGCCCAAAGTCACCCAGCCAGCTTTCATGTCTAAGGAGGGACTAGAACTCACAGTCTCCTGGTGATGGGCCCAAAGTCACCCAGCTAGCTTTCATGTCTAAGGAGGGACTAGAACTCACAGTCTCCTGGTGATGGGCCCAAAGTCACCCAGCCAGCTTTCATGTTTAAGGAGGGACTAGAACTCACAGTCTCCTGGCGATGGGCCCAAAGTCACCCAGCTAGCTTTCATGTCTAAGGAGGGACTAGAACTCACAGTCTCCTGGCGATGGGCCCAAAGTCACCCAGCCAGCTTTCATGCCTAATGGAGGACTAGAACCCAGTCTCCTGGTTTCTAGCCTGCTATATGAACCACTAACCAAAGTGGCTCCTGTCGTAGCTCATACAACACAAATGAAGTGGTGTTTGTGTTGCAATCCACCTTTCCTAGTTTGCTTTCTCAACCTGCCTTCTGCAAATGCCCGGGGTTTTCTTGACTTGACATTCACAGTAGGCGGTGGAAAAGGCCGGGATTTTTGTGGCAGCTACTCTGCTGCTTATCTGTCCAGTTAGATAGCAGGGGCAAATTAAGGAGGTCTGCTAATTATCTTTCCCACTCTGACAGTGGCAGCTTTAATTCTGAACATTTTTTCAAAGGAAGAACTTTGAACAGGCAGGCAATTATTATAAAGACAATTAAACCTCTCCCCCTCAAAATAGGGAGAAGCCAGGCTATATCTGCTACAAAGTGACTCTGAAGCTGAATAAATGATGAGATGTTGTAAAATGAAAAGATGAAAGGTTAAACCATTCATCCAGGTTATGGTTTAATGGGTAGAAAGCTCCCTTTCTCAGGACAGATGACAGTCGATCTTGTCCAGCCATTGTAAATACATGCTGAGTTCCAAACCTCAGATTTTGATCAGTTGGGATGCTGCAATGGTCATCAGTGTCAGGACTAGTTGCAAGTCATTTTTTTCCAGTGCTGTTGAAACCTCAAACAGTCACTAAACAAATGGTTGTAAGTTGAGGACCACCTTAATACATTATCTACAGAGATTCTCAATTATTCAGGTCATGGCTGTCCCAAAGGATCAGAATTGAAGAAGCTACTTGGATAAGAAGTGAAATGTTTTCACACAAAAATAAACAAGAAAGTCCAGTTGCCTTTTGGATTACCTTAATACATATACCTACAAATTAGAACAGACCCCACTGAACTAAATAGAACAGGGGTGTCAAACTCAATTTCATTGAGGGCTGCATCAGGGCTGTGTTTGACCTCAGGGGGCCGGGGTGGGAGTGGCGAGAATGGGCGTGGCCAGCTTGACGTCATTCGTGTTGGGGGGCGCCTGTGGTGGCCTGAGCGCTCTGCCAGTGACAACAGGCTCCCAAGCTCAGTTTTCAGCTGCCATGGCCTCCTGCAACCCTCTGCAAGCAAAAATGGAGCTCGGGAGGGCCGTGTGTGGCCCTCCCGAGCTCTGTTTTTGCTGGCAGAAGCACCGTGGGCCAGTCTTTTAAAGTTTCCAGGGCGGCCCCACAGGCCGGATACAACTCCTGGGCCTTGAGTTTGACACCTCTGAAATAGAAGACCTGGCCGAATAGACAAACACAGGATTGTCTATTCTGTGGATGCTAAGGCAATCAAATGACCGTAAATCCTTTGTAGATTGGTTTTACTCTGACTTTTCTCGAAGCCGTTTTGCCAGCTGTGGTACCTAAAGCATTGAAGGCGAAGAGACTGGGCAAATCTTCCTGCTTTGTAGTCTTCCCCATCCATCACTGAAGCAATCATGTCGGTATCCTCCACAATGACAGCCATTTCACTGTCTCTTTTGCCCAACATGCTTCTGTCATTGATGTTTGCAGAGCCTGTAAAGACACAGCATTGACAGAGTTGCAAATGCAAGGGATAAATAAATATCTATTTTAAAGTAGCTCATGATGCCCCCGTTTGCATCATAAATGGATGCAAACAATCCTCTGTTTCAAACTCTACCAAAATCTACCCAATCATCAATTATGATCCACAGTAATAAAAAACAACAACTCCGAAATACAATAAATATAGGAAAATGCTAGATCTTACTTCATTTGATAACTAATAATTGATCTGGTGAGATGGAAGGCTATATAAATTTTATACAAAAATAAAAACAATAAAATATTGTTTTTATGAGCAGTTTTCTAGAACAAGTGTTTACTTTCAAATTCAGGATTTGATGAATCCTGAATTTGGATTATTTGGGCTTTGTATCAATTTTGGTTCAGTATGGAGTCTGGGGCAGAAAGGGCCACGATAGCATGATGGTAAAAATTAAATGGGGAATATGTTATGTTGGGTTCTGCTGGATCTCTAAACAATATAGATACCATAGGGCAAGGATTAAAAATTTCTGGCCTTCAATTGTTCCTGAACTTTGGCTGGTTCTAACCAACATTTCTGGTTAATGGGAGTTGTACTCCAACTATTTTACTAGAAGAGTACTCAAATCTTCTGCTCGAAATAAAATTCCTTATACCACCAGGCTTGAAATTTTAGGTCTGGATAGCCTCTAACTACGCCATCTACGTTCCGACCTATGCTTAGTTCATAAGATTATTTACCAAAACGTCCTACCTGTAAATGAGTACTTTAATTTCAACTGCAATAACACTAAGGGCTATCAATAGATTCAAATTCAATGTAATTCGCTCTAATCTTGATTGTAAGAAATATGACTTCTGCAATAGAGTAGTAAATGTCTGGAATGCTCCACCTGATCCTGTTGTTAGTCTCACTAATCTCCATACCTTTTACCTTAAACTGTCTACCGTGGACCTTTCATGTTTCTTAAGAGGTCCCTAAGGGGGCGTGCATAAGCGCACCAGCGTGCCTACCATCCCTGTCCTACTGTCCCCATTTATATGTAATCATTCTATCTGTTTATGGCTATGTTGTGCCTATTTATATTCTTTTATTTGTGCCAAAAATTTTTTTCATGTGTCCATGTCTATGTCTGTACTGTTACTTGTTTCCTTGTACTTGTTGACAAATGAATAAATAAATAAATAAATAAAATAAAATAAACTCTGTATGTCACACCTGTTGTCATAGTTCATGGAATCCTTCTGGATACCTTGGAATGTAAAAGCTTGGACCTAAAGCTGCACTATAATCAGATAAGTAAATTTTGAGTAAACAACCGTATCAAGACTGCAAGAAAATCTACTGCTCCGTTGCTCAACTGGATCTAAACTCCGGTTGCTTAAGGGGGAGCCCAAAACCAAACCGTTACTTCTTTCTTTGTTGACAAAAAATAGTTCATTGGATTTTTTTTTTGGTAGTGCAAAATGTATGCAAATCCTAATGATAACACTTTTCTTTCCCTTTACAGGAATTTTCTAGTCTTTGCATACCGGGGGAAAAAAAGGGGGATCTTTATCATGGAAAGGCAGCAAATTAACTGCAATGAATCAGGGCAGGAAAGGTGAACATCTTCTGCTTCAAATGTCAACATAATCTGACTGGGTTTGCTCATAATGCGTTGGGGAGGAACTGCTCTATGCCCTTCTGTCTTTTGCCAGCCTCAGCTGCACCTCTTACGTCTTGTGGGCCACATTTCCTTAATTCAGAGTAGTAGACGTACTGGCAATATTTTACATCTTTTTTGCTTAGTTAGCTTTCGTCTCAGCTATGGATCTAAGCTAGCCATTAGGGCCTGTTTAAAAACTTCCTTTACTGGCAGATGGGAAAGAGAAGGCTGGATCATCTTGCTAATCTGTGCATATCAATCAATAGAAATGTCTTGTGGACATTATCCACTGCTCTTTCATAAAAAAAAGGAAAGGAAAGGAATGGGTGTGACAGTAGATAGCTGTCTGAAGATGAAGACTGCTGAAGAGAGGCAATCAAAGATCCTGCTTATTAGAAAGAGTCATAGCCACATTAAGTAATGCCCAAGACCATTTGTTTATTGATTAATCATTTGACCATATTGAAAAGCTATAAAAACAATGTAAAGAAAAGTAGGACATATTCATAATATATTGTTTCCCCTGCTTAGGTCATTAAAATCCAAGAAATACTCAGACACCAAGAATAAATTATTACATATTTTGCACGGAATGCACTTGCACATAGCTGGGGGCGTGGGGGGGTATGTTTTTATATCAAAAGAGGGTGGACCCCATAGAACAGATTGGGGTTAACTGCAGGGCAATAATATGTTGTCGATATCTCCTATTTTGTTTTTTATTGTTTTTACAATGACTTGGTATGGATGAATGACTAATCAATAAACAAATTGAACTGAATTAAAACAGGAATGTCACGAAGATCTCTCTCTCTCTCTCTCTCTCTCTCTCTCTCTCTCTCTCTCTCTCTCTCTCAGAATAGAATAGAATAGAATAGAATAGAATAGAATAGAATAGAGTAACAGAGTTGGAAGGGACCTTGGAGGTCTTCTAGTCCAACCCCCTGCTCAGGCAAGAAACCAGAGGGGTGTGTGTGTGTGTGTGTGTATTTGTGTAGAAATACCAACAGCTTTATAAATCCCAGCCTACAAGAGAAGGCTAAATAATTTTCAGTTCAGATCAGGCAAAAATAAGATTTATTTCTTCAGTAATTCCACAGGATTTCTGCAGAGCAGCACCCATACATTATAGGATCAACAGCTCTGCCAGGAAGGTATTTCAGTTGAAAACTGTTGAAACACATGAAATGCAGGGCCAGTTTTAAGTAAGTAAGGGTTTGCTCAATGTTGGAAGCATTTATTCTTCTCCAGAGATACAGTAAATAAAAAGATATTTCACCTATTCGGTCCCTTCCAACTCTGTTATTCGATTCTATATATATCCTTTTTGCCTTTAATCCAGAAGAATCTTCTTTGGGGAATACTGTTTGTTCTGGATTAATGTATCGTTTAACTATGGCTACTGGATTTTTCTCTTCGTATAGCAATACGACCAAATATGTTGCTTGCTATTAATTTTCTTCATGTCCCTTTCCTGATCTAATGTGCTTCTAATGTACTGTATCTACCTTGGTCAGGCTGCTCTCTAAATTTAATTACACAAGCAATTACTTGTAAAAAACAACAACCCAAGATGGTTTACAATTTTAAAAATCCTAGTAAAACAATAATTTAAATAGTTTAACATAACTCCTGAAGCTCAAATACTTTGGCCATCTAATGAGAAGAGAGGACTCACTGGAAAAGACCCTGATGTTGAGGAAGATTGAAGGCAAAAGTAGAAGGGGACGGCAGAGGATGAGATGGTTAGATGGTGTCATTGACACAATGAACATGAATTTAGGCAAACTCAGGGAGAAAGGGAAGGATAATGGGGCCTGGTGTGCTATGGTCCATGGGGTCGCGAAAAGTCAGACATGACTTAGTGACTGAACAAAACCTAACTACTGAACATAAGACAGCCTTAATATCATGGTGCCCACATTCTGCAGAGTTCTCCAATCCTTCTCTCTTTTTTTTAATATTATTTTTTATTATACAATTTGTTATATATAAAATTTCCATATCCACAATGGCAGTGTACTGACTGGGTATAATCTCTTTTAAATACAAATAATAACTCTTACATATACAGTAGCTATCACTACTATTCTCAAAATCTATTCATCATATTCTTCGCATATCCTTATTAAACATTTTCCATTATTTAATTAAATGCTCTATTCAATTTTATCTATAATTAATGATATCAATATCAATAAACATCATATAACCATCATATTTGTAACCATTATTGTCCAAGTCTATTAATCATGTTTACTTATCCTCATGATTCAATATTCATTATTTAATTGCAAATTTATTTCATTTTTATTTACATATCCTCCTTGATTCTAAATTTCTAACTTCTGCTTCTATTTTCTAACCCTTGATAGAATAATTCCCAAGTTTAAAAATATTATGTTTCCTTCTTATCCTTAATTTTCAATGTTAATCTATCCATTTCAGCACATTCTAGTAGTTTCTTTATTACGTTTTCCTCTATAGGTATATTTTCATTTTTCCAGTTTTGTGCATACACAATTCTTGCTGCTGTTACCACATGTAAAATCAAATTAAACTAATCTGATTTTAGTTTAATTTTAATTAATTTGGCAAATAAATTAAACAAACAAACAAACAAACACATACATACATACATACATACATACATAGGTATTTCTTTTATTATATTTCTCCGGTAGAATGCTCAACAAGAACATTTAGTTCTATTTGTTGTTTTATCTTTTCTTCTAGCCACATTTTTATTTTTTTTGCCATAGGGCAAGTCCATCACATATGATAACCCGGGATCTGTTTGCATTTCCAACATCTGGGAGATATATTTTGGAACATCTCTGCCATTCTTGCTGGTGGCAAATGCCATCTATAAAACATTTTGTAGAGATTTTCTTTGTAGGCTGTTGACATCGTCAATTTATAGTTTCTTTCCCAGGGTTTTTGCCATTTATCTAATTCTATAGTGCCGTGATGGTGAATTTATGGCACGCATGCCAAATGTGGCACGCAGAGCCCACTCTGTGGGCATGCATGCCATTGCCAGCTGCTCTTCTACTTTCCGGCGCGGTCTTCGTGGAGTGCCTGAAAATGGCCAAAAAAACAAGCCTTTTTCGGGCCATTTTGCATGCCAAAACCAGCCCGAAAACCAGCCTGAAAATGGCCAAAAAACAGGGATGCGCATGCCGGCCAGCTGATCTTTGGGTTTCTGGTGCTCCGGTGCGCGCGAAGACCAGCTGGCTGGTGTGCATGCCAGAAACTTGAAGACTAGCTGGCCGGCGTGGTGGTATTTGGGTTTCCGGCGCTCTGGCTCACGCACATGCACGCATGCACGTTCTGGTTCAGCACTCAGAGTTGAAAAGTTTCGCCATCCCTGCTATAGTGTATCCAAAGAGTTCTCCAGTCCTTCTTGAAGGCCAGAAGCTGGAGGGAATTCATCATCTTTGTTGGGTATCCAAAGAGCACAGGATGTTACTGAAAAAGTACGCCCCCCCATGCCTCATCTCTGGCAGGATGGGGAACCCAAGAAATGTATGGATCAGGTCAAATCTGGGTAGGAACGATGTTCTTAAAGTTATTCAGACTCCATGCTATGAAGGTTTTAAAGTTATTCAGACTCCAATAATAATAAAGTTATTCAGACTTCTTGGCCGTAAATGTAATAATTTTAATAATTTTTAAATTTAATTGGGATTTGTATTGTGTTTTTTACTTGGCTGTGCACCACCCCGAGTCCTTCGGGAGAGGGGCAGTATAGAAATAAAATTATCTATCTATGTATCTATCTATCTATCTATCTATCTATCTATCTATCTATCTATCTATCTACCTACCTACCTACCTACCTACCTACCTACCTACCTACCTACCTATCCAAGCTATGAAGGTTTTAGGCAGAACTTTCACTGGGACCAAGAAACAAATTTGGAACTAGCGTAGCAACAGAAGGAGGTATCTACCGACATGGATTTCAAGTGCTGTAAATCCTAAATTCTAGGCTGATGCACTCAAGCTCAGGTTTGCATCACCTATTCAATCTGGAGAAAGATTGAATTAACAATCAATCATCCACTTCAATGCCTGATTCAAAGGAGTGAGTCATTCAAACTGCCCTCTAATTGAAACTCCAAATTGGTCCCCTGGCCCTCTTGAAATCTGCAGAGATATATGGCAGGGACGGTCAACTCCCAAACACTGGTACTTAGCAAATTTCTCTCTTACCTATAATGACCGTGTTGTCATCAGCAATCAGCAGCTTACTGTGGACATAGATAAGTTCAGTAATGAGTTTCCCTTCCAGCTCAGCATAATTTCGAAGTCCACAGAATGAAATGTAATTAATCCATTGGTCTCCAACTGAAGGGTCCCATTAAGAAATGGAGGATGAAAGAAAAGAAAAAAGAACAGAGAAACTTTAGGACCTTAAAAAGTAGAAGAAATGAAAATGTACAGTTTTTTAAATTACAGAAATGTAGGTCTTGGCTGATTATTAGAATAGATTTCTTGACAGTAATAGCCCGTTAAGCCAATTACCTAGGGAGACCTGCTACTATTTAGAACCCTTCAGATATATCATACTTAATTACTATAATTCCAAGATAGCGTGATCTTTAGCAATGATTGTTAGAATTATGGGAGGTAGCACAGATTGATAGAAGAAGTCTTGGAGGGGTTGATGTAGGACAGCAACACTGGATTTTATGCATCGAGTTATAATAATACCAAGTTGGCTGTATCAGATGCTATAGAGGTAGACTGGATAACATTCAACCCCACCAATCCTATATTATTATAATTATGTAACTGCAGTCCCAATAAGAACAAATATCATAAATATCATTTTAAAAAAAGCTCTACAGAGAATCATTAAAATTGTCCAGAATATCATCGGGCTCCAGCTACCAGCCCTGGACAACATCTTCAAATCTCGCTGTTTGAGGAGGTTGCATAACATGCTCAGAGACTCTTCCCATCCTGCTTACAATCTTTTTGGGCTGTTGCCTTCTGGCAGAAGATACAGTTTTTATCCCAGAGCTATAATTGCACTCAACAATGAACTAAAGGGCCACCAACAGTGAGCTGTTGGACAGCATTACTTGGTCTGTTGTGTGGATGTTTGGGTGGTTTAGGGGTGAGGAATTTGTGGTGAGTGGGGTTGTGTTTGGGGATTGTTATGTGTGTTGGACCTGGTCTTTGGGTGTTAAGTGAATTTCGTTGTATGGGTATACTGTGTATATACGTACAATGACAATAAAGTTATTATTATTATTAAAATGCATCTGAAAAAAGAAAAACATGGGTGCAAATGTCTGAAATTTATGCATCAAAATGTGCATTTTTATTCTATCATTCAGCTAATGTCTATCAAAGAGAAAAAAAAAGGAAACAATAAACATTCTCAATCTGACTACCTAGCAGTTTTGGCATAAATCCAAATTTCAACTGCCCAGATCCTTATGACTGAGCCCAGGGAGTCAGTTTGCTGGAATGACATCAAGCAAACTCAGGAGAAGCAGCTCATTTAGAATCACGTCCAAAGGGATGCATAAGAGAGCAGCTATTTTTCTTCTTCCCAGACACCCAGATGTTGTTTTGCTAGTTTGTTTTCATTATCTTTGAAGATTTCCCTGACACAATCGAAGCCTCCTACTTTAGGTATTACACAATCCTGCAATTATTCCAGCTACTATGTGTTTTATGGCAGAGCCATCAAGGTTTGGTGTCCTATGGTGAGGGCACCTACAGAGACCCAAGCAAAGGACTTACTTTCAGCTTTCAGCTGTCCCAAGATTGAATTTTCTCCTCTGCACATGGTCCTGGAAAAATTAAAACCACCATTACATTTACAAAACAGCACTATGTGAATGAATTTATACAAGAATGTGTTTAGCTGAAATCATCAAATACGTGCCTCTCTCTTTCTATAGAGATAGATAGGTAGATAGATAGATAGATAGATAGATAGATGGATGGGTGGGTGGATGGGTAGGTAGATGGATGGGTAGATGATAGATAGATAGATAGATAGATAGGTGGGTGGATGGGAGGTAGGTAGATGGATAGATGGGTGGGTAGATGATAGATAGATAGATAGATAGATAGATAGATAGATAGATAGATAGATAGATAGGTAGGTAGATGGATAGATGGATGGGTAGGTAGGTAGGTAGAGAGGTAGATAGATAGATAGATAGATAGATGGATAGATGGATAGATAGATATAGAGATACAAAGATATAAAGATAGATATAGATAGATAGATAAATATATATCTTAGAGAAAGAAAAACATTTTTTGGCCTTCTGCAACTTAAAATTTATTCAATGTTTTCTGGCCCTCGTGTTCTCTCGTTATATATATTATCTCAACTCCTGCTAATGTCATAGACACAACCATGTAGTTTTTGATATTGGTATGGAACAACACCATTGTTTTCTTTGCTTTCCCCCCCTGACCTCTTCATATATAGATGAAGAAAGATCATGAGGGCCAGAAAACATTGAACAACTTTAAGTTGCAGAAGACCAAGAAAATGTTTGTGCTTTCTCTTAAGTCTTAAAGGAAGTCAGCAATTTGAAGCCTCAGGCTCTTCTACTGTGCAACCTGGAATCTGAGGCCTTAAGGCTGTGGCCTAATGTGCAGGAATTCAGGTTACAGAGCTCCTTTCAAAAATCAGGAGAAAAACGTAAACGAAACAATGGTGTTGTCCAATACCAATACCTTCAGCCGAACTAGAAAAGCTAAGCAATGGGAGATCATCATGTAATAATGGAGCTATAGGCTGAGCTGGGAAATCAATAAGATATCCTGGAAGAAAGCAAAGCCAGCCATTTCTCATGCCAAAAACCCCACTACATACTTGAGTTTATGACACAATAGCAGGAGTTGAGATCAACCGGATGGAGATGTTACTTTTCATGCAACGTCAGCTCCTGTGACTTCTCAATCATATCAGAGGTGGGTTTCATCAGGTTCTGACTAGTTCTGGAGAACTGGTAGAGGAAATTTTGAGAAGTTTGGAGGACTGGTAGTAAAAATTCTGACTGGCCCCTCCACCATCTATTCTCTGCCTCCCAAGTCCCAGCTGATCAGCAGGAAATGGGGATTTTGCAGTAACCTTCCCCTGGAGTGGGGTGGAAATGGAGATTTTACAGTATCCTTCCCCTGCCACGCCCACCAAGCCATGCCACGCCCACCAAGCCACACCCACAGAACCGGTAGTAAAAATTTTTGAAACCCACCACTGAATCATACAGTGAACTTAAGTCTTGTCCTCCATAACTTATTAGAAGAAAGCTTTCTGACCGAGTCTCAGAACTGTTTGACATTATTTGTATGAAAGAAAACTAAATATGAGCACAGGCAATGTGTGGAGTTCCAGATATAGAACTGGAAACTCATCACCATGGTCAACAGCAATATATAATAGAATAACAGAGTTGGAAGGGACTTCGGATGAGGGGGACAGGACACCTGGAGAAATAGGTACCTTGACTAGGAAAATAAGGGAGCCTCTTATGGTTCTAAATAAATATATTATGCCGCCCTAAATATGAACCACTGTACAGATATTCCAAGCCTGGCATGTTTCCACCTTAAGAGTTATTCAAGACAACAAGGTGGACACAAAAATCCCCCTTTGAACACAATTGTAAATGGGCATTACTAAAGCAAGTCCCATACTGAATGATACCAATACGTAAGACCTAGAACAGTGGTTCTCAACCTTCCTAATGCCGTGACCCTTTAATACAGTTCCTCATGTTGTGGTGACCCCCAACCATAAAATTATTCCTAAAACCATTGAAAATATGTGTTTTCCGATAGTCTTAGGCGACCCCTCTGAAAGGGTCATTCGACCCCCAAAGGGGTCGTGACCCACAGGTTGAGAACGACTGACCTAGAAGAACATACAACACAGAATAAAAGAGTTGGGACTTGGAAGGAACCTTCAAGGTCTTCTAGTCCAACCCCCTGCTCAAACAGGAGAGCCTGATATCATTCTGTCCACTCTCTTCTTGAAATACTCTAGTGATGGAACATCCAACTTCTGAAAGCAACCCGTTTCACTGAGTCATTGTTCCCACTGTCAGGAAATTTCTCTTTAGTTCTAGGTTGGATCTCTCTTTAATGATTTTTTTCGCACCTGTTACTTCTTGTCTTGTCCTCAGGTGCTTTGAAGAATAATTTGACCCCTTCTTTTCTTTGATAGCCCCTCAAATATTGGAAGAATGCTATCATATTACCCCCAGTTCTTCTCTTTGTTAGACTAGACATAAGGCAGTTCCCTCAATCATTTTGAAAAGCATTAAAAATGTGAATGTGAACACATGCCCATATGTATCACTTAATATTACTTTAAAAGTAGGTGTAGACTGCCCCACCCAAAACCAGAAAACACAATGGGAAAAGGAAAGAAGAAAGATTAATTAAAAAGCCAGAAAATATATTTCTAGATTTTCTTGGCGAGACACAACCCCAAACTCAGTGCTCCCTCTGCTGACTCTTTAGCAGAAATACATAATAAAATGAGCTTTGTTCAGCTTTGAGAAGGTCCAACACTGACCCTGTTGGATTATAAAATATTGTTTCATAGATCATAGTGGTTTTTACTACTGATCTTTTAAACTGCATTTCCACTTCAGGGCTTGGACTGGTTGTAGTCCCTGAGATGTTTGTGTTGTTTCCAATGGTATTGTTGTCCATCCCAGATGCAGAGTTCCCTGCCACCTTTCCTCTCCAGCTGGATGGGACATAGCTGAGTAGTTTTCTATGAAAGCATCACTCAAGACAACACCTAATTAGCTTCAATTATATTGCTGCTGTTAACTCCTTCTCGTTACTTCCTTTGATTGGAATAGTCCCAAAAATGGGACTCTTTTCTTTGAATTCCTGCTCAAATGCCAGTTTTTCAGTCAAATGAACCCCAATAAGCAGCCTCATTTTGACCTGCAGAGAATAACACCTGTGTATGACTTTGGCTACAAGAAATACTTTGTGAGCATTCTGGTGTATGTATGTTCTCCACTTATTCTGAATATTTAAAGGTTGGGCTAGAGCAGCAACCCCCAACTTTTTGGGCACCAGGGACCTGTTCTGTAGAAAGAGATTTTTCTGCAGACTGGAGGGAGCATTGTTTCATGTGCTGCCTGCATCCTACAAATGGGGCTTTGTTTGTTTTGTGCAGCCCGGTTTCCGGCATGCCACGGACCAGTGCCAGTGCATGGACTGGGGGAGTTGGAGACATCTGGGCTAGAGGGCCCAGTTTTAGTCTGGCATCATGTCAAAAACATGCTTAGCCTTAGTACTGCATTAAGCCTGTTTTACAGCTTCATACAATATACTGAACCATCAGTAAAACTAACCTAATATGCTAAAATAACAAAAAAACCCTCTCTTAAGGTTAATGCTACCCAAATTAAACATGCTGCATAAATGCATCTTTTAGATGTTTGCCTAACAAGTGTTTTACGTGAATATAACCAGAATCAGAGAACCAGATATATGTTCACTTTGATATCTCTTTTGACTTCCTTTCTTTTCCTTCCATGCTTCCAATGGAAACTCAATAGGATAAGGCCCTACTATGAATCTAGAAACTGTCAAACATTCATTTGACAGTGTATTTGAATCCTAAATATATAAATCATGTAACACAATCTGCAATTTAAAATTTAAAGGCAACCTTCCTTTTAACACAGGCATGAGAGAAGTAGAAAATCCTATGGCTTTACCAGCCAGCAAAGTGGAAGAAAGATTATAAAAATGAAATAAATTCTACAGATCTAATCACAGATTCTTGGCTAAAATGTCCGCCGCTATCTTAGAGAAAAAGGATTACTCCAGCAAATGACTCTTGCTTGCTTTTCCTAGATGTTCCTTGAGTCTGATAAATTGCAACCTTAAATCAGAGTCTCTGGAACAATTTTTATCTAAGCCTTTTCCTATCACAGTAGCAGGCTTATTTTCCCAGATGATCTATCTCCCATTTCAAACAACAGGGAGATTTTTCTCTTTAGCAGAAAGGGCTAAAATGAGGAAAATCTTCTTGATAATCCCAGGTGTGCTTCAGTCTACAGAGCCTGTTTATTGGGTGTGTCCAAGAACCAGTATCTTGGTTCTAATCCAAGAGTCTGGTTTGTAGCAATTGTGTGGAGACAACTTGCCTATTCACTACAACAAGATTCCAAGAAGTTGCCGAAGTACTGTATGTGTATATGAACAAGAAAATGTAGCACTATTACTTTATCAACTGCTCCTACTCTGGCTCCAAATTGGCCATCCCCATTTTCATTTGTGCCAATGCTTCAAAAGCTGAGTGACTTCCAGAGCATTGATCTGAAAAAAATGCACCACTCAGTCTCTCTTTTCAGCTCACTGACCTAGAGATAATGAAACTTCTGGTGCATTACGGAGGTAGAAAAAGAAATGTCTTGATAAGGCCACACTTGGAATACTGCATCCAGTTTTGGTCACCAAGATATAAAAATATGTTGAGACTCTAGAAGTGTGCAGAGAAGAGCAACAAAGGTGATTAGGGGACTGGAAGCTAAAACATATAAAGAACAGTGGTTGGAATTCAGTATGTCTAGTTTACTGAAAAGGACTAGTGGGTGACATGATAGCAGTGTTCCAATATCTAAAGGGCTGCCACAAAAAAGAGGGAGTCAAGCTATTCTCCAAAGCACCTGAGGTTGGGACAAGAAGCAATTGATGGAAACTAATCACGGAGAGTAGCAACCTAGAACTAAGGAAAAATTTCCTGATGGAACAATTAATCAGTGAAATGAAAGTTGTGAGTGCTCCAACACTGGAGGTTTTTAAGAAGAGATTGGACAACTGTTTGTCTGAAATGGTATAGGGCAGTGATGGTGAACCTTTTCGGCACCGAGTGCCAAAAAGGAAGCGTGCACATGTGCGTGCCGCACCAAGTGCCGGAAAGGGAGCTCGTGCATACTCATCAGGGCCGTGAACAGAAAAAGGAGTTGCCCAGGGACCAAGCACATGCCGGATAAGTTACTTCTGGTTTCCAGCACACGCATGTGCACTGACAAGCAAGTCTTCTGGTTACTGCCGCGCATGCACACACACCGATCAGCTGGCCGGCACGCATGCTTACGCCGGAAAATGGAAGACCAGGTCTTCTGGTTTCTGGCACTGCTGCATGCAGAAAGGGCAGCTGATCGTTGTGTGCACATGTGCGTCAGAAATCCAGAAGAGGAACGGGCAACACACGTGCCATGCAACATGGCTCTGCGTGCCACTTTGGGCATGCATGCCATAGGTTCGCCATCACGAGTATAAGATTTCTGCTTGAGCAGGGATTTGGATTAGAAGACCTCCAAAGTCCCTTCCAACTCAGTTATTCTGTTATTCCTTTAGCCTAGCATTGTAGGGACCATAGTAATAAGTGCTCATCATGAAACGTAGGCAACAGAGGTGGGTTTCAGCAGGTTCTGACCAGTTCTGGAGAACCGGTAGCAGAAATTTTGAGTAGTTCAGAGAACCAGTAGTAAAAATGCTGACTGGCCCCGCCCCCATCTATTCTCTGCCTCCCAGCTGTTCAGGAGGAAATGGGGATTTTGCAGTATCCTTCCCCTGGAGTGGGGAGGAAATGGAGATTTGACAGTATCCTACCCCTGCCACGCCCACCAAGCCACGCCCGCCAAGCAATGCCATGCCCACCAAGCCACGCCCACAGAACTGGTAGTAAAAAATTTTGAAACCCACCACTGGTAGGCAACGATGAATATCTTCATCTTAGGACACTGTTTCAGCAGAGGGCCCTATGCCAAGGGCTCTTTTAACTCTGGAGCCATCTCTGCTTTCAATTTGTTTTTTGAATTTTGGGCCAAGCATCCATCAGAGAGCTGCTTACATGACTTACTAAAATGCTTTACTGCATTGCTGAAAATAAAAAAGATCCAGGCTGGACCTCTAAATTTACCTGTAGTTAAAATGCATAATGGCCTGGAGAGCATTGCCTCCTCCTGTTGAAATATCACCTTCAAAACCAGGCAGCAGGGGGATCACTATGTAGACTCGGTATCGTTTGTTTTCCCTAAAAGAAAATGCAAAACATGAAATTTAGTTTTGTGACAATATTATATATTTTACAGTACTGGTGTTTCAGTGCAGTTCAGGGAGTCCTTAGCTCATGATTGCAATTGCGACTGGAATTGTGATTGTTGAGTGAAAGGTCATTAAATGAGAAGTTGTGTCACTGAAGAACCATAAACCTGGCACTCCTGGTTGCATTCATTAAACAATCCCTGTTTTTTAAGCAGATGGATAAAAGAGCTGCCTGCCAAAGGATTTCAGCTTCCCACAGAGCTGAAATCTTCTGGCAGGCAGCCCTTTTGCTCTCAAAGAATTTGAGACAGAATCCTATTGGCAGGCAGCAGCAGTTTGCAACCTTCCCTGCCAGCTTTTCACTGACTTTCTCAATAAGTCAGCAGAGAACATTGCAAATGGTGATCACAGGACTGCAAAACACTTGGCAACTGATCATAAGTGCAAACAGGCTGTGCAACAGATCACGATCATGTGATGCAGGAATATGGTGGGATATTTTGCAATAGGTGGGATTGCTTTACAGGCCATACAGAACCCTTTCCAAGATTGTCATAATTTCGGACCAGTGTTTTAAAAAGTCATAAGTTGAGAACTACCTACACAAGCACTTATGATGTTACCTACCTGGGTAATTAAATAAATCTGCAAGAAAACCACCAAGGTCAGAGTGTACCAAGGATTCCATAGTTCAATCCTGAGCCATATATATTCCCTTCTATTTGAAGAATGTATTTTAAAAATGTATATTGGGGGGTTTATACTAGAACTAATAATTTATTTTAATACATGATCTCAGAGGAGTGTTTAGGTGGGGTTTATTTTTTAATCATTTACGTAAAGAACGATGATCTATGAAACTTGTTCACCAATTTTTACAAACATGAAAATAGATGGTAGAACATAAAAATAGCAAATTCTCTCACAGATTATCTTCACCTTACAGTTCTGCTATGTTTCTCAGAGTCTGCCCCCCCATTTCACATACACCACACCAAACTACTAAATAAACAAGCCAAGATTGAACAAAGATTGGTATAGCTTTGTTTGATGAATACATTATATTAGGCAACACTGATATTTTACTGATTTAACCATGCCCTGTTGTTAGCGTTGCTAACATGTGATACAGATCAAAAGTAGGCAATCTTTAACATCAGACTGTATATGACAGTGATGGCTAACCTTTTTGCCATCGTGTGCCAGGAGGCGGGGGAGGTTCGTGCACGCATGTGCCCACACCCATAATTCTATGCGCCCTGCCTCTCTAGGAGTCTCTAGAGGCTGGGGACAACAAAAAATGTCACTTCCTGTCCAACTGGAAGTTGGGAAACGGGCCATTTCAGGCCTCCAAGGGAGTCGGGAAGGCTGTTTCCACCCTCCCCAGACGCATAGAGAGGATCTGGAGCGAGGTGAGAAAGAAAAACGGGCCTTCCCCAACCCTCCAGGCCCTCTGGAGGTAGGGAACAGCCTGTTTCCCTACTTCTGGTAGGCCCAGAAGGCCTGAAAATCAACTGGCCAGCGCATGCGTGCCAGAGCTGAGCTGGCATGCCCACTGATATGGCTACGTGTGCCACCTGTGGCACACGTGCCATAGGTTCGCCATCACACGTATATAGTCTATGGACCAACTCCCACTGTAGTTCAAATGTTTCTTGAAAGGGATCAGGTCATAATTCTGGATAAAAAGATGGTCTTCCAGCAAAACAATTGCAAAAGAGGTGGAATCAAAATAAGAGAGAGAAAAGGATGCAATCATAACCACATTTAAGTTCTATCCCAAACAAACTGCTTTCTCAAGGAGGCATGGTCCAAAACTATAAGGAGATATCTCTATTAACAGGTTCTGAAGCTAACAGGGAAAAGAAGAGCTGGCATTTTCTTGAAACGGATTGTTCTTAAAATACACAGTTTATATAAGTAGTAAAAATACATCCTTATTTCTTTAAAGACTAGAGTACTTTGTCTATGTACTTTTCTTGAAATTGGTTTTCAAGCGTGGCTTGGAATTAAAGACTATCACTTGTGTGAGACGGGATAGAGAGCACATGTGTGAAGTTAATTAATGAAACTTTTCAAAATTAATTAGACAAATTAATCACCCAGGAGCAACCTACTTCATTAAAAACAGCTACAGCATGCCTGGAAAAACAGAACATTTGTTATTTATTTATCGGAGAAACTGATCATATTTATTATATAGGTTTCAGTTGTCTCAAGGACTGAGAGGTGTATTATTCAGTGGGCGGGAATTCTCCATCAAACCTTTCCATTGCAGGCACTCCTTGATTTATGACAATTAGGATTGGAGTTTCCACTATAAGTAATTGCAGTCAGGTTGGACCTGATTTTATGACAAATTTTACGACAATCATTAAGCGAAGCACTACCGTCATTAAAAATCCAGCTTCTCCAATGTTTTCTTTTTCTTTTCTTTTTTTTGGCAAAAAAGGTTGCAAATAATAAGCATGTGACTGCAGTTACAACTGCAACTGGTTATAAATGCAAGTAGTTCTCAAGCACTCAAATTGCGATCATGTGGCTCTGGGGTGGTACAAGTACAAGTACAGGTCATTACTTTTTCCAACGTCTTTGTAACTTTGAAGCATTGTTAAATTAATGGTCATAAGTCGAGGACTACCTGAATCATTTAAATAATTATGCAAGAGCAAAATTTACAGACCAGAAGATGCAAAGGCAAAGTATTTTGTACAGTATATACCTGTGGAAGTTTTACCACTGACTGACCAACAGGAGGCAGTGCATGACTGGTTTCATTGTTATTGGAACTCATCAATTTTAGATCTTCAATCAGTTCAACTTTTTTTTTTTAAGCAAGAATTGAAACTCTTAGGCTGTAGATTTTGTTCACCATTACATAGTGCACTCTACTTTATGAACTATAGTGTTCTCACGATGTCATAAATCATAAAATCATAAATCACTTTTTTCAATGCCATTGTAATTTTGAACGGTCACTAAATGATCTCTTGTAAGTCAAGGACTACCTGTACGTGAGAAGGTTAAGAGGTGGGTTTTGTCAAAAATGCTTATTTCATTTCTGAGCATGTACTGTATGCAGGTAGTCCTTGACCTATGACTGGTTGCTAAGCAACCATTCGAAGTTACGACAGATTTCCACAAAGCTATGGTAGTTACGATCTGGCTTTAATTTCCGATGGCCCCCTTCCCCAAAGTCACGTGATCACATTTTGGGTGATTGGCAAGTGGCCTGCATTTACAATTGCTTGTAGTGCCCTGTCACACAACTGTGATTTATGACATATATTGCTGGAAACTAACATTTACTTCCTGTTCCTGGCCAAATTAAAAAAAATCATTGATTACCATGGGTTTGGTTAATGTGTTCATTGAATGAACGCAGAGTTTGCTTAATGACCAATCAATTATGGGTGTAAGTCAAGGACTACCTGTATGATCTTACATCAGATCTGTACCTCATAAAACATATTTTCGGAAACTTGACATTTTACATGTCCTATTCCATCCAAATCTACAGCTCAGAAATGGCTAAATTGGGGCAATCCAGATGTTACCAAACTACAACTCCCAGAAGTCCCAGCTAGCATTACCAAAGGTGACATAGGCCACCTCCAGGCTCCTACGGGAAGGATAGTATCTCTGGTGCTCGGAGCATCGAAACACACATTAAGTTATCTTTTTCCAATTCTCCTGCGAGAAACAATTTTGCTTATTTGTATGCATAACAGTGGAAAATGCAGAAAATGTAAAACTTGATATTTTGTTTTGCTGTTGAACAGAATCCTGGAGATCCAATTTGGTTGAAGCATGCGGGCTCTGCAGCATAAAATGTCGATCTGGAGGCCGAACTGCAGATCTCATCATCAATCGAGCTTCTGAAAATGCTCCGGGGGTTGAGAATTGATCACTTGTTTTGATAGGAATACAATTTGCTGCAATGCATACGCTACTACCTGAATCACAATTATACTCAGGGAAGCATATTCTGTTTCTTTAGCTATATTCTGTACCATGGAAACCCAAGGCTCTATTTAGAATTATGTAAATGCACTTTTTGTTTGCATAATTTCTTCGGCTAACAAGACTTGTGGATCCTTCAAGCAATCTGAAAAGGTTTCAGTCAAGGCCTTCCTAGAAAGGATCTGTGATCTCTGAACAGTACATTGTTTGTTCTCATGGCTCGATAACAGGGGTGAAATGCTCCTGGTTTGGACCGGATCGCTGATCCGTTAGCAACGGTGGCGGGTGGTTCGGAGAACCGGTAGCAAAAATCCCTGCCCCCCCCCCGTATGCCCAGTTGAGCCGTGCGATCATCAGAGGCTGTTTTTTTACTTTTAAAAGCATTTTTTCTATAACCTCTTCAGCCGAAAAAATGCTTTTAAAAGTTTTTTTAAAAAAAGCCTGTGATGATCACATGGCTCAGCTGGGGATCGTCACAGGCTTTTAAAAGCATTTTTTTTTCTACAACCTCTTTGCCCAAAGAGGTTGTAGAAAAAATGCTTTTAAAAGCCTCTGATGATCCCAGCTGAGTTGCCTGATCGTCAGAGGCTTTTAAAAGCATTTTTTTCTGCAACCTCTTCGGCTGAAGAGGTTGTAGAAAAAATGCTTTTAAAAGTAAAAAGAAAAGAAAAGAAAAGTTGGCCACGCCTACCCAGTCACATTTAATCCCCCCATCAAGCCACGCCCACAGAACCGGTAGTAACAAATTTTAGTTTCACCCCTGCACAATAGTTTAAAAAAAAATATTGTAAAAACTGACTGCAAAATTGGGTTGCATATAGACATCAACTTACAACATCAGTCGAGCCCAAAATATCTGGTGTTAAACAAGACGTTTGTTGAGTGCGTTTTGTCCCATTTTACAATCTTTCTGGCCACAGGTTGTTAAGCAAATCACCACAATTGTTAAGTTAGTAATGCAGCTGTTAAGTGAATCTGGCTTCCCCATTGGCTCTGCTTTTCAGAAGCTTACAAAAGATGATCACATGACTCTGAGATATGGCAACCGTCATACTTGTGAACCAGTTGCCAAGCATTTGACTTTTGATTACTTGGCCATGGGGATGCTGCAATGGTTGTATGTATGAAAAATGGTCATAAATCATTCTTTTCTCTGTTGTTGTAACTGTGAATGGTCACTAAATGAACTGTTGTAAGTTGAGGACTACAAAAGTTACAATTGCATAAAAGCGATTGATGACCATATTTCACACTTATGACCATTTCAGCATCCTTGTGATCACGTGATCAGAATTCAGATGCTTGGCAATTGGCATGTATTTATGATGGGTTGCAGTGTCCTGGGGTCATGTGACCCCTTTTGTGACCTGAGAAGCAAAGTCAGTGGGGAAGCCAGAAACTAAATTGACAATTGCAGTGATTCACTTAATAGCTGTGGCAAGAAAGGTCATAAAACGGGGCAACTTAACAACTGTCTTGCTTAGCAATGGAAATTTTGAGCTCAATTGTTTCATTACCTGACTAGGTAATGCAAACCAGCCTAGCACATCACCTAGCACTGATGATGTTACCTAATCAGGTAATGAAATGTCTGCAAGAAAATAGCTAAGCTCACAGAACACCAAAAAAAACAACAGTTCAATCCTGAGCTACAAATATTTTCTTCTATTATTTTTAGATGATATCTAAAGTTTATAAAATAATATCAGCGTTGTGCTGAGGACTGTTAAGGTATTGCTTGAAGTTACAGTAAAACTTACTTTTTGTTTAGTGGAAAAAAGAAAACTAAGACTCACCTCTTTGATTGCAAACCCCTCTTTCCGGCAAGTTCTATAAAACCTGCCAGTCCTTGAAGATTATCTAACTTTGAAGGCTTTCTCATCTTTGACAACTTTAAGAAGTCTGGACTTCAGCTCCCAGAATTCCCCAGCAAATTTTTTCCATTGCAAAAATAGTTGCAAAAAAACATATTTTGCAGCCAGATTACCTGTAAGCTTTGAGAATTCTGCGTGCAATGGCATCACCAATTCGGTTCGACACAAGTTTGTCATCGGCGCAGCTAATAAAAAACTGGTTCTACAATTTGAGAAAGGAAAACAGAAAGGAATTGCAAATGTTTATGTTGCTAACAAAACTGTGTTATTGCAAGTTTTGCATGTACAATATTTGAAAAGACAACCATTTCTAAAGAAGGAGCTTTGGGATTATTTGTAAAGTTATTTTGTGAAGTCTGATGAGAAGATCAGTTTTTCTAAAAGTGGAATCTATAATTAATAACCTTCTCTTCCAGTTACTACCTTAGCTTCAGGAAAGTGCTGAGCATAATCCCAGTGCATTCTAATTACCCAGACTAGGCTAGGGATTGGCAATCTGTGGCTCTGGAGCCACATGTAGCTCTTTCATCCTCTGCTGCGGCTTCCTGTCGCCAGTCAGCTCCACAATTGATAGGGCTTTCAGTTAGGACAGGTAGAGGAAAAGGAATGCCGAGCTAGGAGACTCTATGGTGGGGGAACCGGACTTCTGGTCGACAGAAGAAAAAGGAAGCCACGATAGGAGGAGTGGTGGGGGAACCGGACTTCCGGTCAGCTCCAAAATTGAACGGGGGGCTTCCGGTTAGGACCTTTGTGGCTCTTTTGAGTGTTTAAGGTTGCCAACCCCTGGGTTAGACTGCCAACCTGCTGTGCTCCAAATGCCCTGGAAACAACTCTTAGAATTCCGGCTGGCTGCTTGAGAATTCTGGGACATTTATTTCTGAAAATAAACACTTCTGAAACGCACAAGGTCATGGAAAGGTCTGGCTGGAATACTATTTAATCCAAGAGTACATCTTGGAATGAATTCCAGAATTCTCAGCCATGCAGACAGGTTACTTAGCAGACAGATGAAAGTCTCTTCAATTCAATTGGAGGAAAGAAAGTTTATTGAGAGACGCCCCTTCTCAAGAGCTGCATGAGGCATAGAAAAGGCAGCAGGTCTTCCAGAGATAAGACACCACTCTCTGCAATATTCTTCTCCTGCTCTTTGTGGATTTTAAAGAATTAAATCTACATTTCCCCAGTGGCCTTAAACTATGGTTTGTTATCACAGTGATTTTCATTTGGATTAGAAGACCTCCAAAGTCCCTTCCAATTCAGTTATTCTGTTATTCCTTTAGCCTAGCATTGCAGGGACCATAGTAATAAGTGCTCATCATGAAACGTAGGCAGCAAAGGTGGGTTTCAGCAGGTTCTGACCAGTTCTGGAGAACTGGTAGCGGAAATTTTGAGTTGTTCGTAGAACCGGTAGTAAAAATGCTGACTGGACCCGCCCCCATCTATTCTCTGCCTCCCAAGTTCCAGCTGATCGTGAGGAAATGGGGATTTTGCAGTAACCTTCTCCTGGAGTGGGGAGGAAATGGAGATTTTACAGTATCCTTCCCCTGCCACGCCCACCAAGCCATACCATGCCCACCAAGCCACACCTATAGAACCGGTAATGGAGGCAATCAAGGTGTGAAAGTTTCATTTACTTTACTGTTAGCCTGATGCCTACAGAAGACAACATATAAGATATGTGATGGAGAAGAGGCCCAATGATTCCATCCAACTCCAGGGGACAACCCACCTGGTTTAGAATTTAGACTTAGAATAACTTTACTGTTACTTTGAATGTACACTAATCGGCATACATTAAAATGAAATTGCATTGCATACAGCTCTCAAAGGGCCTTCTAAGGCAGCTGCCTCCAATCACAAAAATACTCCCACTTATGCACATACAGGCAAAGGCAGCACTATTTATGTCTCTGAAGAATTTCAACCTATATGAAAACTATAAATTTAGCCACTGGCTACTTTCACTGAACTGAGCCAGAGCTCCACACACGGCAACTACTTGCCTCTATATAGATGTAGTGCTTGCTGTTTTCTATCACGCACACGTAAGCAGAATGGATCGATTCTTCATGGTACTTAATGCCAGCAGACCAATCAGCAGCAGAGCGAAGCACCTAGGAGTGAAAACACCAGCTTTTTCAAAATATATTTCTCTTAGATTGGGGGTGTCAAACTCATGGCGTCACGTTGTCGTCATATGACGTATCATGACTTTCCCCTCCCCTTCGCTAAACCGGGGGTGGGCATGGCCAGCGCGTGACGCATCTGACCTGTGGGCCGCGAGTTTGACACCCCTGTCTTAGATAATCCTATACAAGGAGTTTCCATTTCACAGCATCCAGCTAGTTTTAACATAAAAACCTAATTATATGCAATTATATGGCTCAGAGGTGGTATTCAGCCAGTTCTGACAGGTTCTGGAGAGCCGGTAGTGGAAATTTTGAGTAGTTCGGAGAACCGGTAAATACCACCTCTGGTTGGCCCCGCCCCCATCTAGTCACTGCTAGATAGGGGCGAGTCCCGAGTCCCAGCTGATCGGAGTCCCAGCTGATCAGCTGGGTCTTCTTTTGTTGCACAGGAGAACAGAGCTGGAAAGCAGGTTAGTGGGGTGGGGAGGGAATGGGGATTTTACAGTATCCTTCCCCTGGAGTGGGGTGGAAATGGGGATTTTACAGTATCCTTCCCCTGCCACGCCCCACCCATCAAGCCACACCACACCACCAAGCCATGCCCACAGAACCGGTAGGTCTGCCTCTGTCAGCTCTATCTCCTAAGAATCGGCTTCTGGTGACAAGTCTTAATATTATTTTTTGTTGGATTAACATGTCGTCTGAAGCCCCCATTTGTGGCTTATCATCAAGCAAACAGTGGCATTGAGTGAGATTTGAACTCACTCATTGATTGACTGCAGCTGTTTTTCAGGCTTGCCTGAAGGTGTTGGCACAGCTGAGATTGAGGTAAACTCTATTGCTGACCTCTATCCGTTTTCCAAACAGGGAGAAACTAAAGGAATATTAGACAATAATCCCAGGCTGCCATTAGATTCATTCGAGGAGGCAACAGGGAGGGTGAGGAGGAAGGTATTACTGTCAGCAGAAGGTCTTTTTCCTAAGAAAAACAGTAGAAAAACCTCAAACAGCTGCCGCCCCTATTGCCATGGTTAACGCAACAAAGCATTTCCTTTCTGTTGTCTGAAAAGAATGAGGTCATCTCCTAAAACTCTTGCAGATCATGAACTAAGGGACTTAAACCAGAGGAAAGCAGATTCCTCAGAAGAGTTTCACAATATAATCTATGACAAAGGAAGATTATGAGTACTGCCTCATTGGATGTGTAGGAGAAGGAATTGTCTATAATAGGGGTGTCAAACTTGATTTCATTGAGGGCCGGGATGTTTGATCTCGGGGGGCGGGCGCGGGCTGAGGTTTGTGTGGCCCGGGGGGGGGGGGGGGGTTTGACGTCACTCATGTCAGGGGCACCTCTGGTGGCCAATTGCTAAGGCAGGACTTCCCTCAGACTCTCCCTCCCTCTCATTATAATCTCCTTTCTTCCTTTCCTTCCTCCCCCCCTCCCTTCCTTCCCTCTTCCTTCTCCTTTCTACTTCCTCCCCCTCTTTCCTTCTTTTTCCTTCCTTGTTCTCTTCTCATCTTTCCTTCTTTTTCTTTGTCTTTCCTCTTTCCCCTTCTCCTTTCCTGTCCCTTCTTGCATGTTGAAATGCAAAAGGGCAAACATTTCTCCTTTTGTTTTGAGCTTGTTTTGCTAGCCCTCTGCCAGCGAAAACGGAGTCCGGTCCGTGGCCCTCAGTGCTGGCAGACGCACCGCGGACCGGTCCTTCGCCATTTCCAGGGCAGCCCCGCAGGCCAGATCTAAGCACCTTGTGGGCCAGATCTGGCCCATGGGCCTTGAGTTTGACACCTCTGACCTAGGCCGAGAAATTTAAAAAAATAATCTAGAAAATGGTGGTGGCAAATTACTTTTGTTGTACTGTTACCAAGAAAACTATATGGTTGCATGTATGAAATCCTTAGGAGTCACGCTCAGTTTGAATGCTTTCTCTTCAAATTGCTACGACTGTCCATGACTACAATGAGCAAAACACATCTTTCTTTGTTCCAGCAAAGTTTCCATCAATCATTCTCATTTTTAAAAAATGTTCGCTAAACATTTTATTTTATTTTTTTTGCTTTGAGATGATGATTCCCCTGTTGAAAATAAATTTTATCTAGCCAGGGACCTTGTCTCGCAAAAGCAAAGGCCAGCAGATCATAAAGTCAAGGAAGACAAATAATTTTCAGTTTCACGGCATTACAAGAGAACAATCAATTCCATCCACAATCGCTTCCTTGGAAACTTTTTCTCACCAACTAATTGTGTTTGGACAAGTCATTCCAACTCCTAAGATTTATTTCCTGTGGAACAAGAAACGGGCTTTCGCAATCTCACATTTTTCAGATCATCTTGGACTGCAACTCTCAATCTTGCAAATAATTGAGAAATGTGCAGTGCTTTTCCAGAGAAGAGTATCTGTCTTGTCTTTCTTTCCTTCCCATTCTTCATGATTTAAGAGTCCAAAAACATATTTTCCTTCCACATTGTTTAAAAGAGACTTTAATGAAACTGAAGTGGTAAATGGAAGCCTAGCTTAGCGATACGACTGGGAAATGTCTTTTGTTAGCAATTCCAGAAGGCTGCTGAACACTGAGTGACTTTACTTCTGAGTAAATATCCCCAGGGGTAGCTTTGTCTCTGTTTTGAAGAATGAAAAAATTTATATAGATGTTTTTTTTCAGCGGATAAGAAAAATAAAAGGCCATGGGCCTCTTCCACAGCATCTCCAGATACTGTACATCAGTGATATAGAAATAAGAAAAGTGGCAATTAATCTATGGTTCAGAAGTATTTCAATTTTGGAGTCATTTTATATGATGACAGAAGGAATTCAATATCTAACACTTGACAGTTATGGAACAGTTATACATTTCATAAATATTAGAACACTCTTACCTGCACTTTGGCATTCACAGCCTCAGGGACTTGATAGTTCAATTCCTCAGCTGTTCGCTGAGATTTTGGCAACAAGAAAGGGTACGAAAGGGACCTGTATTTGGATTTCATGATCTTGTATCAAGAAAGAAAGAACGAAAGAACGAAAGAAAGAAAGAAAAGAAAAAAGGAAGGAAGGAAGGAAAGAAAGAACAAACGAAAGAAAGAAAGAAAAAAAGGAAGGAAAGAAGGAAAGAAAGAAAGAAAGAAAAGGAAGGAAGGAAGGAAGGAAAGAAAGGAAGGAAGGAAGGAAGGAAGGAAGGAAGGAAGGAAGGAAGGAAGGAAGGAAGGAAGGAAGGAAGGAAAAAAAACATTAGTCACTCTTGCAAATGTTCAGATTTAACATGCAGTATGACTGTGACATCATATTACATCTTACCGACTAGGGATTCAGAAGATCCCAACATATCTGTCAGTAATTGAAAACTATATGAAATTCACCTTTGTGAAGTTCCAGCGTTGAATGAAGTGCCGAGCTACATCCCGTGCAGCTTTGCCATGAACTACAGAGCCAATGTCGTGCCATGGCATCCTTGGCATGGTGTAACGATCAATAAAATCTGAAGAGGAAGCAAAAAAAAAAAAAAAAAAGTCAAGAGCCTGAAGAACTATCAGCTATTCCTGGCTATTCTACCAACATCGAGTTGCCTATTGTGGGAAGCAAGATACTCAATCACCTAGGCCAGTGATGGCTAACCTTTTTGCTATTGCGTGCCAGGAAAGGGGGGGCGGGGGAAGTTCACGAGCGTGCATCCATAATTCTATGTGCCCCTCCCTGCGCATGCATGCATGACCCCCCCCTCCCCGCCCCCCGCTCCTGGCACACAATGGCCCGGTAGGCCCGTTTTTCTTTCTCACCTGGCTCCAGATCCTCTCTATGCATCTGGGGAGGGCAAAAACAGTCTTCCCCACTCCCTTGGAAACAGCCCGTTTCCCAACTTCCAGTTGGACAGGAAGTGACATTTTTTTGTTGTCCCCAGCCTCCAGAGACTCCTAGAGAGGCTGAGCTGGCGTGCCAGGTGACATGGCTCTGTGTGCCACCTGTGGCACGCATGCCATAGGTTCGTCATCACGGACCTAGGCTTTTGCCTTCCGCCAAACTCATTGTCTCTAAACTCTAAATATTCACAAATTCATTGGCCCCCACTGACTGTCCAGATACGATTCTAACTTGCAGTGACGCTTACCAGCAAAGGGTTTATCTAGTTGGACCCAGTCTTTAAAGACGAAGTTGCAATAATCTTTTCCATGCCAGAATCTGGTTTCACCAAGAAGCTCTCCAACCCCTGTCTTCAAACTGCGAACCGAGCCTTTACCTGTTTCAAACAATCAAACACAAAACAGATTTTTGGAACTTGCTACTAACATAACTAGAATTGCCTCAATTAGTTATGCAAATTTTTAATCTTTAAATTAATGCCAATCATGAAGAAGAGTGCATCCTCAAAGCAGAGCAAGCAGAATTGGAATGCTATTCAATACATTATTAGGGTTTTCTTTTCTATTAATCTTCTCATCTGGGATTGGGTCTTAGGAATGAGGAGACATAGTTCCAAATTTCCTAGATTGCAATATCCTAAATTGTAAATCTCATTGACCTGAAGCCATTCAATCATCCCAGCTTCATCATATGGTCCTTGTGAAGATAAGAAGAGGAGATTTTTTTTTTGTCTTCCTTGAGTTGGATGTATAGTATATATCTGTGATTGTGAACCTATGGCAGGTGTGCCACAGGTTTGCAGGCACGCCAGCCGTTGGCCCAGCCCAGCTCCACCGCGCATATGCGCACGCCTCCCACTGGCCAGCTGGTCTTTGGGTCTCTGCCGCGCATGCATGGGAAGGGCGCATACGTGGGGGCGCTCGCATTGCATTTGGGGGGTTCGCACACATGCATTCCACATGCCCTGTTTTGGGCCTGGAAAGTCTCCTGCATCAACTTGGAAGCCAAAATGGGGCGCAGGGGGGGAGGGAGGAAGTGTGGGCGGCGCTCACATTGCATTTTGGGGGGTTGCGCACACATCTGTGCATTCTTGCGCGCATACGCACACTTTGGCCACTCGGCACCAAAAGGGTTAAACATCACTGGTATATATAATAACCTAAGTGCTGCCCTACATTTATGTTGTCCAGGTTTTCCCTATTTTATGGTGAAATTTAATTAATTGATTTTATTTGAATGTTCATCCACCCAACCATCGATTCATTTTTACATCATCCTGTTGACAAAGTTCTTGAGACTTGTCTTGGAAGGATTTTGACCCTGAAATATGGCACAGAAATACAATGAATAAGTAAAGAAATCACTCACAAGAATCACTGTCTACACTGCTCACACTATCTGCACGATGCATAGTATGTCGATGAAGCTGTCTGTAGATGCTGAATCTGGCAAATTTCTTGGGTCTCCCTACTCCTTTCATTCTTGAAACTTCTGGGGCATCGTCACTGCATCCTTGAAGAGGTGTGGTTATTGGAGTCTCCACCTGAGGTTGAACAGTTTCAGCTAAAGACTTAGGGCAGAAAAAGGACAAATGCGGTTCAATTTTAGTATGTGTTTGTGTATCTATCTTGGTTGCTAAGAATTGACATTTGATTTGATGGTATGTAAATCCATTTTAATCAACATGCGTATTCTGTGTATGCAGAATACGGCACAGGCCTTTATGCATATCCTATAAATGAGGGTATACCAAACTGCAGCATCTGTAAAAGCCATAACAACATTAAAATGAGGACGTACGTTATAATATAATGCAAATAATGCAATCATGTAATAATATCATGACATCTAAGATGAATGTACAAATCATGTCATTTGCTTAAAAACATGATACACTTATCATCACTTGCTCTTCTTGCCCACAGATGCTTTTGGACTAAATGACTCAAAGCTGCTTCCCACGGAAAATGGATCAGTTATGCAGAAGAGCCCTCCTATTTTCATTCAAAAATAATACAGACCCGCAAGAAGTACACTATATATGCTGTTTTTGAAAAGATGGACAAGTTTAAAGTCAGCACATACGTAGATTGAACTGCAAGAGAAACAGAAGTAAATATCCATGCCAATTCTTTGGCCTGGATATTGCAAAACTAGTTTGGGTACCATGGGTTTATACTCAATACATATTTTTCACTGCGTGTTTTCAAAAACAAATATTAGAGGAAACACTTATGCAGTTATTTAAACTACAGTTCTCTTCCACAGATAAAGTCTGGATTGTGAGCCACAAGTCAGAGTGTCTGAATATGTCTAACAGTTGCAACCCCTATAGAACGTTTGCTGCAACCTTGAAACAGCTCCAGCTAGCTCACAACCCCATTAGATTTATCAAGTGATGCTGATGAATGGACAGATGGTTTCATGCATGTGTGTCCACCACTGCAAGGAAACAAGAAATTGGCGTTCTCCAATTCTGGCGAGATCACAACTCTTAATCTAACATTGGCTAAACAGCTGGTACTCTAAGAAATGTAACAGCTAATGTGACATGAAAAAAGTTGTCTGGACTGAGGACTTGTATGCTAAGGTTGATAGGGTTGATGCTAGGATGTCAAACCATGTAGTAGGGCTGTATTATCCTTCTCGCATCCTGGACATAAACTGTTTCAACTCCTACCCTCAAAATGACGCTATAGAGCACTGCAGACCAGAACAACTAGACACAAGAACAGTTTTTCCCCGAATGCCATCACTCTGCTAAACAAATAATTACCTCAACATTGTCAAACTAGTTACTAAATCTGCATTACTATTAATCTTCTCATCGTTCCTATCACCCATCTCCTCCCATTTATGACTATGACTGAAACCTTGTTGCTAATATCCTTAAGATTTATATTGACTGTTTCCCTATGACTATCATTAAGTGTTGTACCTTATGATTCTTGACGAATGTATCTTTTCTTTTATGTACACTGAGAGCGTATGCACCAAGACAAATTCCTTGTGTGTCCAATCTCACTTGGCCAATAAAGAATTCTATTCTATTCTATTCTATTCTGTTCTGTTCTGTTCTGTTCTGTTCTGTTCTGTTCTGTTCTGTTCTATTCTATTCTATTCTATTCTATTCTTTCCTATTACCTATTCCTTTAGCATCTTATGACTATCACTTTGTTGCTTGTGCCTTATGATTTATGTTGATTGCTTTTATTTAGTATCCTATGACTATCATGGAGGGTTGTATCTTATGATTTACGATGACTGTATTTTACGGTTATGGTCATGATTTATCATTTGTTACTTGTATGTACACCAAGCGCTTATGCACCGGAGTCAAATTCCTTGTGTGTCCAATCACACTTGGGCAATAAAGAATTCTAATTCTATAAAATAACAATAATAAGACCTGCAGCGCCCCAACTGATCCTGGAAAAGATATTCAGATAGAAACTGAAGGTAGATAGGTATTCAGTTTCTACTGCACCAGAGGGTGTCTGCAATCCGCATTAAACTGGCTTATTAGCAGGGAAAACAAAGTGTTAGCAGTGCAGGTTAAAAGGCCCCAGAAATTGGATGCAGGATATCTTGTTTGATAGATACAGCCCTTTATAAAATGATTTCCCAGGAGGTAAGCCTGCCAGAAATCTTAAACCAATTGCTAGGCACCTCCACTGACCCAAGCAGTTGTCTAAATGTCAATCTGAAACAAGTTAGGAGAATTACTTTCTCAATTTCTTGTTGATTTTCAGAAAGTCACAATTTAAAAGGAAGGGAAACTGACCTGATCTGTATGTGTTTATTTTACACAGAGGCAACATTGAGTTCAGAGGATTTGGAGATCGATAAACTGCACAATTTAATTTTGGATGGGAATATTAATAAATTTAGAATCTCTTTAAGAAAAAAGCACAAGCTTTCACAAGCTAAGCAAAATACAAAAATGACTGTGGAAAACAAAAAACAAAAACAAAATCCGATAGACGTCATCCCATGTTCCTTTGCCTTTCTTTTGTGACTTATCAGTTTAAATCAAAACAGGAAAGGATGTTTAAGAGTCATAATTTCCTTGCTGTTTCTTAAATCAACAGTTCTCTAGAACCTGACAGAAAAGTTATAAAAGACAACCCTGCAGATATTTGAGGTATTTGTGAATATAATTTTATCCAGACAAAGTTACCTTGGGAATGTGTACATTAATACATATATGTACTTTAGATAGATAGATAGATAGATAGATAGATAGATAGATAGAATTTTAATTATTAAAAAGTAATAAAATTTAAACACAGAGAAAGCAAACGTAATGGAAGGAAAAACAGAAAACGTTGGGAAAAAGAAAAACAAGAATAAAGAAAACAAAAATATATAAATAAATGAGTTCTAAACCTCCTGACTACAAATAACAACTAATTTAGCAATTCTTCACCCTTATAAAGTTAAATAAATATCTCTTCATCCCATATTCCATCCTTTATCTATAAGCAAACTCATAAAACATTAATCCTAGTGTAAACAAAAGCCCCCAAAGCGTTTCCAGATCATTGCCAAACAAGAGTGTCTTATTTTAACTGTGATCAAATAAACTCACTTTATATTCCTTCATTTTACTTTTTAAGTCTTGATCTTTAATTCAATTAATTTTTATTTATTTGTATCCCACCTTCATCATTTTCTACACATAACTCAAGACAGCAAATATATCTATTTTCCCTACAAAGTAGGTTGGGTTGGCAAAGATTGACGAGGTGGGACTAGAACTCAGTCTCCTGGTGATTGGTCCAAAGTCACCCAGCCAGCTTTCATGCATAAGGCAGGATTAGAACTCACAATCTTCTGGTTTCTAAAATAGCACCTTAACTGCTTTGCCACACTGATATTAACAGAAACATGTTTGATAGTGACGTTCTCTGAACAAGCTGAATGTAGTACCAATCTCAGAAGTAGCTTCCCTGATTTGTGTAGTCCCACCTCACCATTTTGTGCTTTTCCCTTTGTGTTCAGGCTGCAGAAATCATACTTACAGAAAGATCCACTGAAGACTCAGATTTGGTCGCTGTCATACGTTTTACGCTGCCCACATCTGTCAGTCGGTGCTCATTGTCATCCCATCTGCCATATGCCAAGTCTATGCCACCAACAAAAGCTACGGACTGGTCAATGATCACCAGCTTTTCATGGTGGGCCCATAAATAAACAGTAGAGGACACATGATCAGGATGCCTCATTACCTGGAAAAGAAACACTGACCTTAACATCAAGTGGGTTATAGGTGAATATTTTAATGGTGTAAACCTTAGATCAGAGGTCTTCAAACTTGGCAGCTTTAAGACTTGTGGACTTCAACTCCCAGAATTCTCCAGCAGCTGGCTGGAGAATTCTGGGAGTTCAAGTCCACAAGTCTTAAAGCTGCCAAGTTTGAAGACCTCTGCCTTAGATGATCAGAAGTTCCATTTGGATAAATACCGTGTTTCCCCCAAAATAAGACTCTGTCTTATATTTTTTTGAACCCTGAAATAAGCGCTTGGCCTTATTGCCATGCGCTCAAAAGCCCGATTGGGCTTATTATCAGGGGATGTCTTATTTGGGGGGAAACAGGGTAAATATATAAGATTCCCTTTTTGAGCAGGTTTTTCTCCATCGTATTTAAGCAGCATGCTACCACAATTATGTAATCATTCCTAAATTGAGGTGGACTTTCTCATTGGCTAGGTTTAACACCTTCTTGACACTCATCAGTTATGCTCACATGAAACGGGAGCAACTTGGAGTTATTTTGTATTTTACTGTCCCTGATTTATGTCTGGAAGTTGTTATCTCTGTTTCTAGATAAATGCCCTCGTCATTCAGATTCCTTTTACCTGACTAGAACTGTCTGACCATGTTCATTCTGTCAACCTAAATGCAGCCAAAGACGGGTAGATCTCGACTTACAATCATTCATTTAGCAACTGTACGAAGTTACAGAAGCACTGAAAAAAGTGATTTACGGCTAGTTCTTGCACTAACGACAACTGCAGCATCCCCAGAGTTACGTGTTCAGCCAGCCCTTGGCAACCACCCTATATTTATGATAATTGCAGGGTCCCAGGATCATCTACTACTTTCCTAGCTGGCTTCCAACAAGGAAATATTCCCTTAATGACCTCATGATTCCCTTATCAACAGCAGCAATTCACCTAACGACTGCTACGTTAATAAACGTAGCACAAAAAAAAAAAAAAACAGTTGTAAAATAGGGTGTGAGTCATTTAGCAATGGCCTTGCTTAGCAATGGAAATATTGATTCCAACTGTGGCTGTAAGTCAAACATTACCTGTACTATCTACGGAGATTCTCAATCATCCAGATTGTGGTTGTCCCAAAGTTGCATTTCCAAAAGGCAACTGGGCTTTCTTGGTTTTTCCTTGAAAATATTTCGCTTCTCATCCAAGAAGCTTCTTTAGTTCAGAACTGTAGAAATGTCTTGGATGAAAAATGAAACGTTTTCAAAGGGAAAAAACCTAGGAACATCCAACTTTGGGACTGACCTGTACTGTTTTGCTATCTCTAATATTCAATAAGCATTAATAAGAAGCAGTGGTGAAATCCAATTTTTTTTTTACTACCGGTTCTGTGGGCGTGGCTTGGTGGGCATGGCAGAGGAAGGATATTGCAAAATCTCCATTCCCACCCCACTCGGGCAGCCAGAAGTGATATTTGCCAGTTCTCCGAATTGCTCAAAATTTCTGCTACCAGTTCCCCAGAACCTGCTGGATTTCACCCCTGATAAGAAGGATTTATCTGTCTGTCAGTCTGTCTATTTTTAAAGTTTTTTATTTTTATTTCTCACAAAACATATATAAATGTACGATCTCTTTAACCATTCTTATCACACATATTATCTTTTGGTTTCCATATTGGTTCATTCTTCATCCTAAAACTTTAAAATACATTCAGAGTTGCTCTTCCTACCATTCCATATCTTCCTTCTTCCACAACAACCATTCCTCTCCTTCTCCTCTCTTACCCTTCCCTCCTCTATTCTTTTCAACTTTCTTCTTTACTCCTCTCCTTCCCTTTCTCTCCTTCCCCTTCCTTTCCCCCACTCCTCCCCTCTTCCTCTCTTTCCAACCCTGTCTCCTACTCTTATTTCCCCTCCCTTTCTTCCTCTCCTTTTCCCTTTCTTCTCTCTCTCTCTTTTCCTCCCTTCTCCTCTTTCCTTCCTCCCTGTCCCTCTACTCCTCTCCCCCTTCCCTCTCCGTTGTTGTGTCCATTTTCAGTTCAATATTTTGTCAAGATGGTATTCGAGCATCCCCAATTTTATATTTACCCACATTTTCCTTTCAATTTCTTTTCTATTTTGCTGGTTAGATATCTTTTTGCTCAGATAAGCTGATTATTTAGTTCTGTTTAATTACAATTGGCAACATTACATTTTCACAGTTCTGTATAGTGCTGTTTATTTGGAAACAGCATGTTTTATGTATATTTCACTACAGTTTATCCTTGGAATTTCTTTTGATCTGGTCTATTTCTTTTGATCTGGTAATAAAACTGAACCGAAGTATGTGATTTCCTCTAGAAGAATAAACAGGACTGACCTCCTGGCAAGGCCAAAATGACAGAATGGAAACTACTTTATGTGCATCTTTTGGACATATCCTCATAAACATAATAGAACATGCTTTTGAGTACAGCACTAAACCACTATTTCTTCCTGGTCTTGAAGTTGTTTTGTGAATAGAGCAACATTTACTCTATAGAAGTCAAAAGCCTCAACATGGAGCAGCTATACCTAAAGATAAATAAACAGTGTAACTGTTATAATGGATACCAAATACCTTAATATTGGGATGCAGGCGCATTAGAGTCCTTTTGGTATATTCACTGTTGATACCCAGAGTGAGTTCTAGTTCTTTGTAGATCATCACAAAGATTTTCACTCCTTGTTGCTGTCAGAAGAAAAAAAAATACCAATCATATTTGATGCATGCAGAATCAACTAAAAGCTTAGCCGAATGCTTTACACCCTTATTTACTCGTTGGGGTTATGCTACAATAGCAATGTGGGCAATCTTTTGTGGGTCAGGAGTTGCATTTAGAAAAATGGATCTTAAGAAGAAATGTGATGCTGGTAATGACCCAAAGTAAGTAGGATTGCCTCAGTGGTGAAATTCAATTTTTTTTTACTACCGGTTCTCTGGGTGTGGCTTGGGCATGGTGTGGCTTGGTGGGCATGGCAGGGGAAGGATACTGCAAAATCTCTATTCCCACCCCACTCCAGGGGAAGGATACTGCAAAATTCCCATTCCCTCCCCACCCCTGGGGGAAGGATATTGCAAAATCTCCATTCCCTCCCCACTCTGGGGCCAGCCAGAGGTGGTATTTGCTGGTTTTCCAAACTACTCAAAATTTCCGCTACCGGTTCTCCAGAACCTGTCATACAGTATATGTTTTGTGAACAGACCAGCAAGCCTTCCTGCAGCAAGCATTTTGTAAGTGTGCCCAGGATGAGGTGTCAAAATTCCAGATGAGCTCACTAAGTATTCCAAAACACGGTTCTTTCTATGTTCCTTGGATGCCGGTAAACATTATCCTAATCTAAAATAACCATGAAATTTAGCAACCTGTGCATGGTTAAAAAAAAAAAACCCAGCTAAATTCAAAATTAAGACTAAAAAAATATCAGCTTAAAATCTGAGATCTGGAAGCAGAGCAATCCAAGAGACTTCAATTGTGACATGACCTTTTCTCCCTTTTGCCACAATAAAATTATTGTTATGCTTGCCAGAAGTGTATCAATGATTTGATTGCCATCCCAAGGTGATATTCTAGGATGGGATCATCCTTGCCACAAAAGGAATAATTCTTTCCGACCTACAAGAACTCAAAGCATACCTTGTCCACATTGGCAAAAGTATTTTATAAAGACGACAGAAAGCTTCCATTTAAGTAATCAGTCACCTCAAGCTCAATAACAAGGCACATGTTAAGCCCTCTCCTAATTAGACCTATATTCTTGGAGAAGATCAATGCCTACCATTAGCAATTTAATGAGTATCCATTTCGAACACAGACAAATAGAATATATCACATCACACTGAGATCATCTCTCTGGAAAGTCAATTTATACTGTTTCTGCTCATACCACTGATGTCCCTTGGAACAGGCCAAAAGAGATGATCACACAGGATGCAGATAGCATTTAGACCTAAATTCCCTTCAGTTTGCAATGAGAGTTTCTAGAGTGCAGATGCCTTCAAAGTGAACATGGGAAAATGCTCAAAATTGAACAGTGTTGTCACCTACAATCAAGGAGAGGTTTAGGAAGGAGGAATTTCCTATCCTTGACAATATTCAGGGGTTTGGAACAGAGGTCAAGGAAACAATGAAAATGAGACAGGAGGTCATAGGAAAGGGAGATGGGCCTAAAAAAGAACAGCCCACTGAAGCAAACTCCTCTCTACTTCTGAACTCAGTCCAGGAAATATAATGAAGTTTAAGCAATGAGCTCTGGGGCTGTAGTATAAATGCATCTAAAGATAACTACTTCACTTTTACAGGAGCTTGGCATACCTCTGGAAGGAAGGAAGGAAAGAAGGAAGGAAGGAAGGAAGGAAGGAAGGAAGGAAGGAAGGAAGGAAGGAAGAAAGAGTTATTATTCAGGCAAATGCTGGGTTCATATAACAAAATGGTTAGATTATGCTTCAGTGTGTCATCAAAATCTAAACAACTGAATTAGATAAATAATGGTTATGTTAACCACAGATTAGGATGAAACACAAAGATAAACTAAAACATACAATACAACAAGAGCCTGTAGTACAGTGGACTAAGCACTGTTATTAACATCTGCTGCTTGCAATTACTGCAAGTTCAAATCTCACCAGGCTCAAGGTTGACTCAGCCTTCCATCCTTTCAAAGGTAGGTGAAATGAGGGCCCAGATTGTGGGGGGCAATAAGCTGACTTTGTATAAATATACAAAAGTATGAAGGCTATTGCTTAACGCATTGTAAGCCGCCCTGAGTCTCCGGAAAAGGGTGGCATATAAATTAAAGCAAAAAAATAAATAAATAAAAATTTCCCTCTGTGTATTTATATGATTATGTATGTGTATAAACACACATACACAGAAAGAGCTAACCCACATTTTCTCCACTAATACACAAATGCATAAGTAGACAACATATTCCTAAGAAAACACAGGCAAAACCTCTATGGCATCTGATATACCATCTGGATACTGGCAAAAAAGAACAGAAAGAAACAAATCTGGAACTTACTATGTATGCCATAATTATTTTAACTGATTACCAGATTGATGCTGACTTTTCCTACAAATGTAGCATACTAGTGTGAGTCATCATCCAAACAGCCTAGAATACTGCATTAACATAGGCCATAATGAAAGTTTATGGTGCAACATGTTGGGCAGCTCAAAAACTGAATTAACTAATTAATTCAGTTATCTGCAGTACCATTCACCCAAGACACAATATTTGTTTATTGTGCAAAGGCTATCCATTACATCAGTGATGGCTAACCTTTTCTGGACTGAGTGCCGAAAGCGTGTGCATGCGCCCAAACCCCCAAAGCGCATGTGCCATGCCCTCGTGCACCCCACCCTCGCATGTGCCATGCCCCCACACATGCGCGCATGGCCCCCCCACGTGCCCTGCCCCCAAGGAAGTGCATGTGGCCTCCCGCATGTGCCCGCCTCCGCACAGCCCCTGTGCATGCATGGCAGAGACCCGAAGACCAGTTGGCTGGTGGGAGGCACATGCACATGTGCAGCGGACCTGAACTGGAGCGACGGCTCGTGTGCCCACAGAGAGGGCGCTGTGTGCCACCTCTGGCATGCGTGCCATAGGTTCGCCATCACGGCACTACATTTTCACTTCACTTATCTAAGAGTGTTGAGTGAATACAGGTAGTCCATCATGAATGCAGCCATACCTTGAGTCCCTGCCTGAAAAATGAGAGATATCTCTATTCTATTATCTTTCGCAGCTTTGTAAGGCTTGAAAAATACTGTACACTTACAGCCTTCCGCCTCAAAATGCAATCCAATCTCCAGCGATTGCCTTCGACCACAGGCCGCTTCATAAATATTTCAGGGCTCAGCCTGTAAAAAAAAGGTAGAAGAGGAAGTAAGCTTGGCTGAAAAATACACTAGTGAACTTTTCTCAGTGGAGCTGTTGTCCACTTTTCTACACTTTCTGGAATGAACACAAGCAGATGCCGCAATCCACGCAGTTAAAAGAGAGAGTCCGCCAGCAAAGAGGACTCTGATTTCTTTCTATTACAATATAAAACAGCAACACCTCCTTAAGGCTGAAAGTTTTTTTCAAGTGTTGCTGTGCCCCCCAATAGGATATATAACCACTCTGAGTGGGGAAATTGTTCTGTTTCCTAGGTTTTAGAGGCTATTTGTCTTACATATTTTATTTATCATTCTATTTTTTTAATAAAAAAAATATTTGAAAGGAAAAATACAAACAACTTTGGAGATGGACACTGTTTTATTCTTTTTTCTCAAAGCTGGAGGGGGGGGAAACATTCTCCCTCATGGTTGCCTACAAATACAAGCAGCACATGAAATGGCACTGGGCCTGTATGCTGAGGAAAAATTAAACCATTTCCTCAGGCGTCTTGGTGTAAGCAAGCTAGGGAAATGACATAATTCTTAAATAGTAAAGGAGGGTGTCTAAGTTTTGTGTAAAAGCAATGAGCAGTCACAGTGCATTTTTATTACAATTTTTCAAATTATAATTATAATTAGGAAAATCTGAAGGCCCGCTCTGGATGGCCACTCTGGAATTGTGATAGTCAACTGATGTGCCACATGGAATCAATCTAACAGGTTTAAAAAAATAAGGGCCACCACCTTCATACTGTAGGTATTCTTCCACAGATGTGATTACTGCTGGTAGTCTCAAAATACTAAGGACATTACATGAATACGTCCTCCACTGGACAAATAGACCAAACCAGCACCCAGCCTGTAATTTGTTCCCCCTCCATATTCATGCTGTTTTCATTTAAAGGTTACAAAATAATCTGAGGTGTTGCTATGAAGGAAAAAGCTGAAAAGCTGCCATGGTGCCATTCCTTTATTTAATACTACTACTACTGTTACTGCTACTACTACTACCATATTTCCCTAAAAATAAGACTGGGTCTTATATTAATTTTTGCTTCAAAAGACGCATTAGGCCTTAGTTTCTGGTTAGGTCTTATTTCCAGGGAAATATGGTACTAAATGCATCCGTCTGGCTGACGAGCTTAACTGGAGCTTATTTTTTTGGGTAGGGCTTATATTGAAAGCATCCTGAAAAATCATGCTAGGGCTTATTTTCTGGTTAGGTATTATTTTTTGGGAAACATGGTAAACAATAATAGTAGTAGTAGTAGTAGTAGTAGTAATAATAATAATAATAATAAGTAGTAGTAGTAGTAGTAGTAGTAGTAGTAGTAATAGTCTCAATTATCTATAACTAACTAGGAAAAGAAAGGACACAGAATAGGTAATCCAAATAAAATCAATTCTTCATGGCAAAATATCATTGAAAAAGACAATTTTTATGCTAGGGATCATTAGGAAAGGGACCAAAAAAACAACACCTGCCAATACTGTAATGCCTTTAACATCTGTGGAATTCTATATATAATCCTAGGTCACCATATTAGTATGGAGAGAATGAATCAGAATGATCTGGAGGCATCAGTATGTTACCTATGGGAAAAGATTAGGACATCTGCCCTTGTTAGCTATGCCGGCGTCCCGGTATAGCCAGCTGGTGCCATCGCTGGTTATTGGGGGCGAATCACTGGCCCCCACGGAAAGGGCCTGCAACTTGAGTGTCCTCCTGGATGCACGGCTGTCTTTAGAAGAGTATACGATGGCCGTGGCCAGGGGGGCTTTCTATCAGGTTCGCCTGATACGCCAGTTGCGCCCCTTTCTAGATCAGGACTCCTTACGCACGGTCACTCAAGCACTCGTCACTTCTCGTGTGGACTATTGTAACACTCTCTACATGGGGCTCCCTTTGGGGTGCACCCGGAGGCTCCAACTGGTGCAAAATGTGGCCGCGCAGGGGATTATGGGAGCGACGGGGCGCTCCCACGTGACACCTCTCCTGTGCGAGCTGCATTGGCTTCCGGTGGACTTCCGGGTGCGCTTCAAGGTGTTGGTGACCACCTTTAAAGTGCTCCATGGCTTAGGGCCAGGGTACTTATGGGACCGCCTTCTGCCACCAATTGCCTCCCACCGCCCGGTTCGCTCCCACAGAGAGGGCCTCCTCAGGGTGCCGTTGGCCAGACAATGTAGGCTGGCGACCCCCAGGGGGAGAGCCTTCTCTGTGGTAGCACCTACCCTCTGGAACGATCTACCCCCAGAGATACGAGTGATCCCAGACCTCCCGACTTTTCGTCGGGCCCTAAAAACCTACTTTTTCCAGTTAGCCGGGGTGGCCTGATTCCATGTTGGTTTTAACTGATTTTTAATTGAAATGTTTTAAATTATGGGCCAAATTTCATTTAATTATTTTTTAAAATTATTTTAACTTTTGTGTACAAATGTTTTTATTTTGGCTGTTCACCGCCTGAGTCCGAAAGGAGAAGGGCGGTATACAAATCTAATAAAAGATAAAGAAAGATAAAGATAAAAAAAAGTAAGCAATTGAGGTAATTGAGGTGTAAGAATCATACATGGCATGGAGAATATGTAAGAGGGGAAGTTTTCTCCTTTTCAAAAAGCTCTAGGAACAGAAATCATCCAAAAAAGTGATTGATGAGAATTTCAGAGGAGGCAAAAACACATTAATGAGTGAAATTCATGACTATGTGACATGATGGTAACAGGTCTACGACATGGCCAACTCGCCACAGCCAACTCGCCATTGCCAACTTGCCATGGCCAACTCACTGAAGGACAGGAGTTACACTAATATCAAATAAAAGTTGGAACAGAAGCATTAAAGAAAGGTTGCCAAAGGAGGGACAAAATAAATGTCCCTTTGTTAAATTAAAATAATTTTAAATACTTAAATTGAATTGTTGAATTCTTCTGCAGTGAATTGGCCCATGGCGAGTTGGTCATGGCAAGTTGGCTGTGGCGAATTGTCCCATTCCGGGTGGCGACCATTAATGTGGAAGCTTTGAGCAGGGATTGGGTAATTCCATGTCAGTTATGAAGAATCTATGTTATATCCAAACTGGAGAAAACAGCTCTAAATACCAGCTGTAGGGTAACAATGGTGGCAGAGATTTATGTTACCATCAAGCATTAACCCCAATGCATCTAGGCCTCAGCCTAATCCTAATTCTTGCTTTAATCACTCTAAAGACCTTTCGTCCATTCTAGAGCAAATACTGGCATTAAGATATTAGGGAGGAAAACATCTGAATTATATTATATACATTTTTGGATTAGTGCCACGAGTTTTCCTCCTTCCCTCTTGTTTCAAAGTGCCACAGGTCTTTGGGGGTCATATTTTTATACTCCACATTTCCCACCTCCCAACAAATAGGCCACAACCGTCCTTGATGCTCACAACATTCACGCAGATGAGAAAAATAAGTCATCTAAAGTTTTTCAAAGTTACGATCCTATGTTTTAAAATTCACTAATACTTTCCAGTTCTCTTTGACAAATTTGATACCTGCCAATACAACAAGTTTTGCAGTTTTCATTTATTCAGTAATATAGTCCAGTTTATCGTTTCTTTGTCTGAAGGTGGAAGCTGAACAGGGTTAAGTTTAATCAGTTCTGGGATGGGAAACCACTAAAAAAATTCCAGGGTTTAAAGATTAAGCTTGAAAGCTACAAAAATTTCCCATAAGATAGCAACGGAAAATCATGTCTGTACTGTTGTTGATTGAGACATATCCATGATGTCACCAGAAGCTCAGCTCAGCATTATCTTCACTTTTTATTACAAGATTAGATAGACTTTTTATTACAAGATTAGTTTATATGTGAATAAAACCAACAAGTATGACTTTAAAAGTTCATATTTATATGGGGACCTGGCTTGGGTCTAAACAGTCAGCTGAGAATCCAGTCTATAAGCACTGTGGTTGTTTGTTGTTGAGCAAAGTAATGCCAGGCCAGATGTCTCTATTCCCTACTGCTTCACACCTCTTCTCCTAATCCTGTAAAACAACAGCTTCTTCTATTCCAGGGGTGTCAAACTGTATTTCTTTGAGGGCCGGATCAGCACTGTAGTTTTCTTCTACCAGCTGGCGGGGGTGGGGGGGACAGTGGGGAGCGAGGGTGAGATGAGACGGATGCCTCCTGCAACACTTTACCATCCAAAAAGGTGGGTGCACAGCCTCCCGCACCTTATTTTCGCCCTCCAGGGCCTCCTGCAGCAGTTTGCTGGCCGAAAGCCCCCATGCGGCCCATTTTTGGCCATCCGAGTGCTGCTGGAGGCTGTGGGGGCTGAAAATGGGCCATTTTCAGCCCGTTTTTGGTGGCAGAGGCACCGCGGGCCGGTCCTTTGATATTCCCAAGGTGGCCCTGCCGGCCTTGAGTTTGTCATCCCTGTTCTATTCCCTTCTCTCCCTCCAATTATTCTTTTTGTGCCTCGGGTCTCTTAATTTACAGGTAGTCCTCGACTTATGACCACAACTGAGCCCAAAATTTATGTTGTTAAGTGAGACATTTGTGAAGTGAGTTTTGCCTCATTTTATGACCTTTCTTGCCTCAGTTGTTAAGTGAATGACTGCAGTTGATAATTTAGTAACCCTGTTGACAAGTGAATTAATTTAATTTAATTTAATTTAATTTCCAATTTATATACCGCCCTTCTCCCTGAGGACTCAGGGCGGTGTACAGCCAAGATAAAAAACATAGGATACAAATATTAAAACATTTAAAAATATATATAAATTTTGGCCCGAAAGTTAAGAATCACAGACTAATTAAAAGAATTTAAAAATTTTAAATTTTAAAAATTTCTTCTTAGGCCAACCCGGCTTGTTGAAAAAGATGGGTTTTCAGGGAACGACGGAAGGCATTGAGGTCCTGGATTCTTCTTATCTCCGGGGGCAACTGATTCCAGAGGGTGGGAGCCCCCACAGAGAAGGCCCTCCCCCTGGGGCCACCAGCCTACATTGTTTGGCTGATGGCACCCTGAGGAGGCCCTCTCTGTGGGAGCGCACGGGTCGATGGGAGGTCGTCGGTAGCAGCAGGCGGTCTCGGAGATAGCTAGGCCCTATGCCATGGAGCGCTTTAAAGGTGATAACCAACACCTTGAAGCGCACCCGGAAGACCACCGGGAGCCAGTGCAGCTCGCGCAGGAGCGGTGTTACATGGGAGCGCCATGTTGCTCCCATCACTACCCGCGCTGCTGCATTCTGGACCAGCTGGAGCCTCCGGGTGCTCTTCAAGGGGAGCCCCATGTAGAGAGCGTTGCAGTAGTCAAGGCGAGAGGTGACGAGGGCGTGAGTGACTGTGCACAAGGAATCCCGATCAAGAAAGGGCCGCAACTGGCGAATCAGGCGAACCTGATAAAAGGTCCCCCTGGTAACAGCCGTCAGATGTTCCTCCAAAGACAGCTGCCTATCCAGGAGGACTCCCAGATTGCGAGCCCTTTCAGTGGGGGCCAAAGACTCGCCCCCAATAGTCAGTGATGGAGTCAACTGACTATATCGGGATGCCGGGAGCCACAGCCACTCAGTCTTGGAAGGGTTGAGCCTGAGCCTGTTCCTCCCCATCCAGATCCGCACAGCCTCCAGGCACTGGGACATCACTTCAAGGGCATCGTTGGGGTGGCCTGGGGTGGAAATGTACAGCTGGGTGTCATCAGCGTACTGGTGGTATCTCACCCCAAAGCCACGGATGATCTCGCCCAGCGGCTTCACATAAATGTTGAACAGAAGGGGCGAGAGGACCGATCCCTGCGGCACTCCACAAATGAGAGGCCTCGAGGTCGACCTCTGCCCCCCTGCCAACACAAACTGTGACCGGTCGGAGAGAAAGGAGGAGAACCACCGCAACACGGTGCCTCCCACCCCCAACTCTTCCAGCCGGTGCAGCATGATACCATGGTCGATGGTATCAAAAGCCGCTGAGAGATCTAATAGGACCAGAACAGAGGAATAACCCCTGTCCCGAGCCCTCCAGAGATCATCCGCCAACGCGACCAATGCCGTTTCCGTGCTGTGCCCAGACCTGAAACCCGACTGGAACGGATCTAGATAGGATGTTTCCTCCAGGAATTGTGGAAACTGTTGCGCGACCACACTCTCAACAACCTTCGCAATGAAGCGAAGGTTGGAGACAGGACGATAGTTAGCCAATATTGCTGGGTCCAGGGACGGCTTCTTGAGGAGAGGCCTCACCACCGCCTCTTTCAGGGCAGCGGGGAAGTGACCCTCACTCAACGAAGCATTAATGACGCCCTGGAGCCAGCCTCGTGTAACCTCCCGGAAGCCAGTACCAACCAGGAGGGACACGGGTCCAGTAAACATGTGGCCGCACTAAGTCTCCCCAAAATCCTGTCCACATCATCGGGAGTCACAGCATCAAACTCCTCCCAGATAACATTCTCAAGACTGTTCCTTGTCACCCTGCCCTGATCTACCCAGTCAGAGTCCAAATCCCCCCGGATCTGAGCGATTTTGTCATACAGGTATTGTCCGAAATCCTCCGCCCTGCCTTCTAAGAATCTGACTTCCCCATTGACTTTGCTTGTCAGAAGGACGCAAAAAGTGATCGCATGAGCCGGTGGACACAGCAATGGTCATAAGTATGAACCAGTTGCCAAGCATCTGTATTTTGAGCACACGACTATGGGGCTGCTACAAAGGTTGCAACTGTGAAAAATGGTCATAAGTCACTTTCTTCAGTGCCGTTGATCACTAAATGAACTGTTGTAAAGTGAGGATTACCTGTACATGCTAAATGTTCAAGAAAGGCCAATAAGAGACTTTTGATTTTCATTTCTTTTTCCCCCATGCAAAAGAGACAAGTTGAAAAGGAATCAGTACATTAAAGTGATTTCTGTTAAATTAAAAGTTTTCATTGGTTCGTCTTTGTTTCCTTAGCCAAGTGTCCTGAAAAGACCTTTGCAGCAAAGCCTTACTTATTCTCTGCCTCTTCCTCTAAGATGTTGCCAAACCATCTGGTCCCGCTGTTAAGTTTCCATGTGAAAGGACCCAACAGTGCCACATTATAATTATATATTCTAGAAAGTACCTTGAGAGGCTAGAAGGAGGCTGAGCAGGAAGGGTGGAATCTGATCATGTCAGTTAAATACTAACCACCAATCTGTGATGAAAATCTCTTCCTTGGCAGCTTCCATGGCATTTGCTATGTCTTCAAAGTACCCCTTGGCATTGACATACCTAGAAGCAAATGACAACATCACACAAACAGGCAGGACTGGAAATCCGGAAGCAAAAGGTAACGATATATAGGACTTTTGGTTTTTTTTTTGTTTTATTATTGGAAGCAGTACCAAAAACGAGGAAATGCCCCTCAAAAATGAAAGAAGTGAAAATGATTAGGGGACTAGAACATCTTCCTAGTCAGGAAAGATGGAAGCAATAAGTGTAGGACTTTTTGCAGAAAAGATTCTAGCAATAACTGTAGGGTTTTTTTTACCCTACAGCTATAAAGATGTGTTGAAAAACAAACATAATGGAGATATGTGAAACCACGCATGGTGTGGAAAATGTGGAAGGTTTTTCTCTCTCGCTCTCATTTCACAGTCTTTAACCTTGGGTTCATCCACTGAAAATAAACGCTAAAGAAATTCAAAGGCAAAGAAAAGATTGCTTTATCCATAGATAGTAATACTGTGGGAAATTGCTGTCATTAAACATGACAATGACCAGCAGTTTTGGTGTTTTAAAAAGGAATTTATACAATTCAGGGAAATTAGGGCTGGGCAGCTACATACGATCCAGGGGTGGGTTCTAAAACGTTTTACTACCAGTTCTGTGGGCGTGGCTTATTGTGTGGGCGTGGCTTGGTAGTCATGTGACAATTCTTTAGGATTTAGCAGAGGTACTGGTCTACCAGGCTTTTAACTGCTTGCAGAACTGTACCGGTCTACTCATTTGTTTTTGGAGGCACCAGTCTACCCATTTGTTTTTGGAGGCACCGGTCTACTCATTTGTTTTTGGAGGCATCGGTCTACTCATTTGTTTTTGGAGGCACCGGTCTACCACCACACTGCCTTTTAACACTGATCAGCTGTAGGGCAGCCCTTTGAAGCCCCACGGCAAGAGTTTAAACAGTTTTTTTCCTTCTAGTCGATCGGCTAGGACTCGGGAGGCAGCAATAGAATGGGGGCGGGGCCAAATAAAAGGTAAGAATAACGTGGGTAAGGGAAGCGGGAGGGCCCAGCTCCCGAACAAAGAGAACTGGTTCGGTGACGTCATATCATCACCTCTACCGGCTCGGCCGAACTGGGCCGAACCGGGAGGAACCCACCACTGATAAGATCATTGAATCTCAGTAGAATATTTAAACAGCAATTGCTAAAAAGCAACAGTATAAGAGGTATAATATTTAATCAGTACCTGCTGGAGACCAACAGTAGAAGAGGGCCACTGACCTTGAGCACACTTTTGAGTTTTATGGCTACACCTATGCTGCTATGCTAAACGGGGACCAGATGCAATTATTATGGTTTTAAAGGGGTGTGATCAGTAGTGGGATTCACTGATTGTAACAACTGGTTCGGTGCGCGCGCTTCGGCACATGCACATTACGATCGAAATTAACCTTCTACTGAATCCAGAGTGAGTAAAACAGCTGAGGCGTGGCAATCCGCTCTGCCGCGCCTATCAGCTGGGTTTAAAACAAAAGAAATATAGGTAGGTTATAGCGCAGGGGCGGGCAGGCGGGCCCATCTGATCATTGGAGCGAACCGGTTTACTCTCAGCTGATTGTTGGAGATATCGGTATGCCTGAATCGGTCAGAACTGGCTGAATCCCACCCCTGGGTGTGATAAACAAGTCAATGATTAACCAATCATCATCATCTCCTTTTAATGACCCCATAATCCCTTGTGGGGTGGAGTCTGGGCAACTGAATGGAGCTGAGTGTTTACTGGCCGGATGCCCTTCCTGTCGCCAATGCGGAGTTTTTTTCCAGATATATTCTAAGTGTGCCCAGAGAGAGAAATATCTGCCTCTACCTAGGATCGAACTCGCAGCCTCCTGATTGTGAGGCGAGAGCTCCACCTCTAGGCCACTCCACCACTCAGGTCAATGGTTAACCAATGTTCTAATATAAATCAGAACACAATCCTCGTAGCTATTTTTTATTTATTTTATTTATTAAATTCAGAGACCACCCCAAGTTAAAAGCCGGAGGGAGCAGCCTCAAGTCACCAGGCTCCTCCAGGATTACATGCTGCTCAGGCTCAGGTTTTCAAACTCTTCAGGAAGGTCAGAGTGCAGGGGCCAACCTCACCTCATGGGGCAAGAGGTTACATACAGTGGGGGCAAAGGCAGAGGAAACTTTTCTTTTGTCTGAAAAAACAGAAGTACTTTGTAACTCTGACTTTATCATCAGATGGAGATTTAAGTCCTTCAGGTATGGCTCATCCACATTCATGAGCATCCTGAGGACAATTGTTGTCCCTTGGAAAACTGTTGCTATACAAGCACAGAAATGCTGCTGGTTTAGATTTGACCACAGATATCAGGTTGCTACTTCTGCCCTGTCCCCGCCCTCCCCAAAAGCCTAGCAACGTTTCTTGCATTATGGGAAGAATTGCCACAGGTGACTCATCACCAATAAAGCCATCTGCATGCTAAAGGCTGTGTGGGTGGGTGGGTGCGTATCTGTATGTGTCTGTCTGTCTCTCATCTCTCTCTCTCTCTCTCCATCTATCATTTATCATAAAGTATGACTTGTGCATCGTAACATCAACCTGCAAACAATGTGACTAACGCATTTGGAACAGATACCATGATGCAAATGCATAATTGCATCATTAGTGCGATGCCCTCCATGACACATGTTGTCTTGCTACAGACTAGACTCAACCTTGACAACTTTAACAAGTGTGGACATTAGAAATCCCAAGCCACAATGCTGACTGGGGGAATTCTGGGAGTTGAACTCCACACCTCTTAACAGTGGCTAAAGTAGATACCTACAGCCATATGCCATCAGCAGCTATTAAACAATGGAAGGTCTTCTCTTACCACTTGGCTAATGTGTTCTCCTGGATGGCTGCGTAGGAACCGAATCTGTGATGTTTGAGGAAGTTCTTGCCATTTTTCTGAATGAATTCTTCTATTCCTTGGCACCACCAGAGAGCATGTCTGTAGCTGTTGCACTTCAAAATCAGTGACCTGGACAGGAAACAAACATTCGGCTTTATCTCTTCTTCACCTGTACACAATCACCATTTGCCATAAGCAACCAGCACAAAACTTGCAATTTGGAACACGTTGAATCAGAATGCTCGACATTGCAGAGGGAGATAATCATGTGGTACTATATGAACTTCTCACCTGGAAAGATTATCAATCCGTAACCCATATTTAGTTTCTGTCTCCTTCTTGCCAATCTTTATGCTGAATTCTTTATCAACCAGGAGGACGAAAGAAATAGCTCCACTGTCTGGCTTCATATACAATAAGAAAGACTCTTTTACCACTAACCACCTGGGGAAGGAATACAAGTAGAAAAAAAACCCCAGTAGATTATGTTGATAACTTAATCATATTAACATTTAAAGCATTTCATCCATGTTTGCTACATTCCCAACAATACTTTTTCCCCAGACTGTTCCTAAAGCAACACAATTTGCCTGCTGCATACTTTTTTCTGTATCACGTTTTCTGTGAACTGCTTTACTGTTAACATAATCCATTCTAGACAAGCTAAAGCATAATTATAGTTATTTCTCTTCTGAAGAGAATGCAGGTAGGCAATTTCCAGACTCAGTTCACTGAGGTGTAACAACAGCGGTAAGTATGGTTAAATCCCTCCCAGTTTAGAGTTGTTAAGTAACCAATGAATCATCTAAACCAGCTTTGTCTAACCTGACCCTTAAGACTTTATTTATATTTATATTTATATTTATATACTTGATTCTCACAAGAGTTCAACTTACTTTTAGGTTACACCTGATATATTGATTTTCATTTAACAAAAAAAAAAAAAAAAAAAAATCTAGGAACTACATAATAAGCCAAGATATTGTTGCCTAGGTTGTATGGGCAGCGTAACGTCACGTTAAGACCATAACTCCCCAAACTTCTAATTGCCTGGATATACTCTCAAATATATGTTAATTAAATATTTAAAAGATGCATTCACAGAACCTACTAATTTTGGTTAGTTGCATTCATATACAAACCATTAATTTTGGTTCATTTATTTTGATATTCGATTGCGGCTTAATGTATTATTTAGCTAGTTCTTTAATTTATGGTTCCTTGTATAGTCTCTTTTCTGTTTGTTTGCCTTCAACTTACCATTGACTCCTGGCAATTGCCTGGGCAAGTCCCTCAGTTTTCTTGGCAAGATTTTGGAAGTGGTTTGCTGTTGCCTTTTTCCTAGGGCTTGAGAGACCGTGACTGGCCCAAGGTCACCCAGCTGCCTTTAGGTCTAACGTGTGACTAGAACTCATTGTCTCCCAGTTTCTAGCCTGATACCTTAATCATTACACCAAACTGGCTCTTGTATAGGAGAAACCCAGGGAATGAGTTAATTCAGCACCAGGGTCTATAGTTCTCCTTTTTGTGTGGGAGTCAGCTGAGTCACCTTGGGCTGGTCATTGCTTCTACGTGCTAATTAGCATCCACCACGAAACTCTTCACTGCATCCCCTGTTACTAACTTTGCTACAAGAACTAGGTGTGTACAAGAAATCATATGGGTCAAATGCAAAGAAAAATAACAGGCTAGGAATTCTGAAGTTGGATAGCCCCAACATAACACTCTGAGCTGGCAGTATGATGTGGAAGCCTGACCTGAGATGACATTTTTATGAATGCATTCTTCAGGAAAAAAAAAATCTTTGGGGGCCACTGTGCTAAGAGATAGCAATCTTACAAAAGAGACAGCTTCTAGCCCTGAACTAAGGCTCTTACTCAACTAAGGGTAATCCAATTCCCAGTTACAAGGATGTACCTTTGTAAATGTGACCGCTTTTTGTTACATTTTCTAAAGCAAACCAGAACTGATCTTCCAAATCTGAAATACCACGGGTGTCCATCCTTGGAGACTTGTGGATTTCAATTTCAACATGTTGGCTGGGGAATTCTGGGAATTGAAGTCCACAAGTCTTAAAGTTGCCAAGGTTGGTCACCCCTGGTTTAGCAGCACCTTTCCCCCACCCCCAAACAATGTGGCAGTCAGAATGTTGAACTGAACTGAATACTTTAGTGGCCAAGTCTGATTAAAGATACAAGGAATTTGCCTCTGGTAGAGAAGCATTCAGTGTACTTGCAAGTCAATGGAGAAAATAATAACTCAAAAGGTAAACAAAAATGCTAAATTCAGTCTGACTGTATCACAAATCATAATAGGCACCTGCCTATCTCAGGGCCTTGGAAAGGAGTTCATAGGTAGACAAAAGTGTTAAATCTGATAGTCTGAATATCTGGCTGACTGTGTGATGAACCATAATACCAATAAAAGGGGGAAGTAAAGAAAATAATAAAAGGAATAAATAATAATACTATTGCCACACTCTATGGGTTGATATACATATTAGATAACTGAGAATTAGGTGTTTCCACCGTATACTTCTGTAGCTCTATAGACTTTGTCATTATCTCAATTTAATGTGGGTGGTTTTTTCTCCCCCTGGACTTTTTAATTGGACTAAAGTTTGTTTGTTCCTTTCTGCTCTGCATTGGTGAGTTTTGTGAAGGAACTCTATGTCTTTTCTCTATTGCTCCAATTTTGCAATTCAGAAATGACATTTCCACCCTAGCCAAGTGGAGCGAAATATTCCAGCCTGACACTTTTCATATCCATGCAAGCCAGGTTGAAATTTTCCAAGGCAATAATTAGTTGCTAAGCTCTTCAGTGACTCACTGGATCGTCTGAGCCTTAATGCTGGAAATGACTCAGAAAAGTCACATTCGCCATGGTGCTCTGTTAACATAAACCACCATTCAGTCTAGGATTTGATTCAACAAAAACAGTATTCGATGTTTGTTTGGCTAGTGATTCCTGACCTCCACTTTCTGGAGCACGTTGTTTGGAAATGCTTCCGCCCATCATTATAGACTCAACACTTTAAAACTCAGGTGTTACTGTAAAAGTTGTTTATAAAAACACACCGACTTAATTCCATTAAAGTTTATAAAAAGGAGACTGCAAGTTTAGCTTTGAAAAGGTGAATTGCTAAGCAACAGGCTGTGCAGCAACGAGAGAGAGAGGGGGGAGGGGGCGCACATGCATGTACATGCACACACACACAGAGGAGGGGGTGGGAGGGAGAGACCAGTGAGGTAGAAGAAGACTGAACAGATTTTGCTGTTTTCAGTGTAGACTTCCTAAGTGCTGTGGGACGAATGGGGAAGAGAAAGTCTCCTATTCAAACTATTTTTACCATCAGGGTATGCACGTACATAGTCGGAATACCGAAGTGAATGTTTCACAAAACTAGTTCTCAAAATGGGTGCATGTTTTCTCCAGGAGGAGGAAGAACTCTTTGCTAATCTCAAATCATGGCTGGGGGTGGAGGGCTTTCTCCAGACTACTTCACAAGGACTAGTAACACCTTGTTATTTTTTTGTTTTGCCTTTTCCTCATTGATGGTACACATTGCTTGACAGTTTTGGGTTCTGGATACAGGAAATGACACATTAGTGAGGGGAAAGAAGCATACGCATACTCTGGCCACATGCTTTCCCTACGTGAAGTTCTTAACTCTTATGAATTCAGAACATGTGTCATGGGAGCATCCAAACTGTTCCTCTTCACACAAGGAACCAGAATTGATATATTTCTCCACTTTGTTGCTGCAGAGTCATAATTTGTTCCAAATCACCTCATGTGCCAATTTTTCATGCAATTTAGAACTGCTGTAGTGATGCCATCATTAATAGCAAAGCGTCAAAACTCAGTCTGTTTGCTACATAGGGAGAAGCATCCATCTGCCAACCACTAATATTTACCCACTTATTGCTGTCTCCCTTTCTGTCTGCAGAATAGCCTGTTCCAACTCATTTCTGTATCACAGCCAAGAATATTAGATAACATGTCTGTGGAATTGCCCAGAGCTTATATTATTCAATGTAAACTAGGTGGTACCTGTATACGATTGTGTGAGACTTTGGTGTGATTACACAATTGCACAGTGCAGCAAGCGATCGCCCTGAAATTCTATGAAAATTGTTCCTCTTGGGTATATTTTATTAAAAGTAAATATATTTACTTATATATATAAGTTTATATAAAGTTTATATTTATATAAAATATATTTTATATTTTATTATATTTTTTTAAGAGTAAAAAATAAAGCCAATAATAAAAAGAAAAAAGAAAGGAAGGAAGGAAGGAAGGAAGGAAGGAAGGAAGGAAGGAAGGAAGGAAGGAAGGAGAAAACTAAAAGTGCAAGAAAAGAAAAAAATAGAAAAGAAAAAAATATACAAAGTGGTTTCTTGTCTATGGAGTTTCTCAGTCATCCAGGTCATGGCTGTCCCAACGGTGCTTTTTCAAGAGACAACTTGACTTTCTTTGTCAGAACTGAAGAAGCTTCTTGGATGAAAAGCAAAACATCTTCAGGAAACAAAGAAAGGAAAAACAAAGCAAGTTGTCTCTTGAAAAAGCACCTTCGGGACAAAGTGGTTTTCTTATTCTGTGGCTTCAACATAACTCTCTTCTTTCTTTAATCTAGTCTGTCTAAAACTATGAATGGTTAAATTCATGTTTCACACAAAAAAATATGTAAGACGGTTTCCAATCAGCAATAAATACAACTTTTGTGAGCCTTGAGATAGTATTCATTTCATCTTTAAAAGCTATTTAATTTTAATGGGGCAGTGGTGCTGGAAGAACAATTGGACACTTGGACCAAAGGTACAAGTATAGATTCGGCGAAACCTGGCTCAAGAATAGTAATTGTGAGTGGGACCTTGGAGTCCTAGTGGATGATCCCTTAAACTTGAGCAGCAGTGCGGCAGCAGCCAACAAGGCCAATACAATCTTTGGTTGTATAAATAGAGGCACAGAATCAAAATCATGAGATGATGATGATGATGATGATTGTTTAGACTTCTATACCGCTTCATAGTGCTTTACAGCCCTCTCTAAGCTGTTTACAAAGTTAGCATATAGCATATTGCATATTAGCATATTGCATTAGCATTAGCATATTGCCCCCAACAATCTGGGTCCTCATTTTACCCACCTCGGAAGGATGGAAGGCTGAGTCAACCTTGAGCTGGTGAGATTTTATCTGTTGACCTGCTGAACTAACAGTCAGCTGAAGTAGCTGCAGTACTGCACTCTAATCATTGCGCTACCTCGGCTCTTAGAGATTTATTAGTACCACTTTATAAAGCTTTACTAAGGCCACACCTAAAATACTGCATCCAGTTTTGGTCACCACATTACAAAAAAGATGTTGAGACTTTGTAAAAAGTGCAAAGAAGAGCAACTAAGATGATTAAAAGCCTGGAGATGAAAACATATGAAGAATG